GACCGACCAACCCCAACCCACCAACTCCAAACCCAAAAGCATAAACCACCACTGACCAACCCCAACCCACCAAGCCCAAACCGTGCAGCACAAACCACGACCAACCAACCCCAACCCACCAACCCCAAACCCAAAAGCACAACCCACCACTGACCATCTTCAAACCCTCCAGCCCGAACCACGACCGACCAACCCACCAACCCCAAACCCAAACGCACACGCTACCACTGATCAACCCCAACGCACCAACCCCAAACCCTGACGCACAAACCACGCCCGACCAACCCCAACCCACCCACCCCACAGCACAAACCACCACTGACCAACCCCACCGCACAATCCACCACTGACCTACCCCAACCCACCCATTCTATACCTGCCAGCACACACCGCGACCGACCAACCCCAACCCACCAACTCCAAACCCAAAGGCACAAACCACCACTGACCAACCCCAACCCACCAACCCCAAACCTTGCAGCACAAACCACGACCAACCAACCCCAACCCACCAACCCCAAACCCAAAAGCACAACACACCACTGACCATCTCAACCCACCAACCCCAAACCCTCCAGCACAAACCACGACCGTAGGAGAGTCGGTAGGGCCAAAAACCCCTGCGTTTTACGGTGTTTTGTGCTCGTCGCATTTTTGCGGCTTTTCCCGGAGCAAGTGGTCTAAGATGGGTCAACATGGGCCCACATAGGCCGCAAGCGGGGCCAACATAGGCCTCAAGATGGGCCAACATAGCCCCAAGATGGGCCAACATAGCTCCAAGATGGGCCAACATAGCGCCAAGCTGGGCCAACATCGCCTCCAGCCGGGCCAACATAGCCCCAACCCACCAACCCCAAACCTTCACGCACGAACCACGACCGACCAACCCCAACCCACCAACCCCAAAGCACAAACCACCACTGACCTACCCCAACCCACCCATGCCATACCTGCAAGCACAAACCCCGACCGACCGACGCCAACCCACCAACCCCAAACCCACACACACAAACCATCACTGACCAACCCCAACCCACCAACCCCAAACCTTCACGCACAAACCACGACCGACCAACCCCAAGCCACCAACCCCAAAGCACAAACCACCACTGACCTACCCCAACCCACCCATGCCATACCTGCGAGCACCAAACTCACACACACAAACCATCACGGACCAACGCCAACCCACTAACCCCAAACCTTCACGCACGAACCACGACCGACCAACCCCAACCCACCAACCCCAAAGCACAAACCACCACTGACCTCCCCTAACCCACCCGTTTTACGGTGTTTTGTGCTCTTCCGACTTTTTCCCATTTTTCGGATCTTGTGGCTCAAGATGGGTCAACATGGGCCAACATAGGCCCAAGATGGGCCAACATAGCGCCCAAGATGGGCCAAGATAGCCCCAAGATGGGCCATCATAGCTCCAAGATGGGCCAACATAGCCCCAAGATGGGCCCACATTGCCCTCAAGATAGGCCAACATAGCCCCAAGATGGGCCAACATAGCCCCAAGATAGGCCGCCGACTATCAAAATATCCTGCGTTTTACAGCGTTTTTTTGCTGTTCCCATTTTTCGGATCTTTTGGCTCAACATGGGCCAACATGAGGCAAACATAGGCCAACATAGCCACAAGATGGGCCCACGTTTAGGCCAACATACGGCATATAGCCACAAACATTAAACATAGGCCAACATAGCCACAAGATGGGCCCACGCATTGCCCGCAAGATAGGCCAACATACGCCAAGCTCCATATAGCCACAAGATGGGCCAACATAGTTGGGCCAACCGGCTGTCGCGCGTAAGCAAGGGCTTAAATCCGGCCAGGGGCCCCCTGGCCGTGGCATAGCCGTAAGGCGTTTCTCTCCTCTCCGTAGGAGAGAGGGGCCGCCGCCCCAGCCGCAGTTTTACGGTGTTTTGTGCTCTTCCCACTTTTTCCCATTTTTCGGATCTTGTGGTTTAAGATGGGTCAACATGGGCCAACATAGGCCCAAGATGGGCCAACATAGCCCCAAGATCCTGATTTTATCGCTCCAAGATGGGCCAACATTGGGCCAACATAGCCGCAAGATGGGCCCACATTGCCCTCAAGATAGGCCACCATAGCCCCAAGATGGGCCAACATAGCCCCAAGATAGGCCGCCGACCATCAAAATATCCTGCGTTTTACAGCGTTTTTTTGCTGTTCCCATTTTTCGGATCTTTTGGCTCCACATGGGTCAACATGAGGCCAACATAGGCCAACATAGCCACAAGATGGGCCCACGTTGCCCGCAAGATAGGCCAACATACGCCAACATATAGCCACAAGATGGGCCAACATAGTTGGGCCCCTGGCCGGCTGTCGCGCGTAAGCGCTTAAATCCGGCCAGGGGCCCCCTGGCCGTGGCATAGCCGAAGGCGTTTCTCTCCTCTCCATAGGAGAGAGGGGCCGCCGCCCCAGCCGCAGACCACCCGGTAGGGCCAAAAAACGTCCTGTTTTACGGTGTTTTGTGCTTCTTCCCACTTTTTCCATTTTTCGGATCTTGTGGCTTAAGATGGGTCAACATGGGCCAACATAGGCCGCAAGATGGGCCAACATAGCCCCAAGATGGGCCAACATAGCGCCCAAGATGGGCCAAGATAGCCAAGATGGGCCATCATAGCTCCAAGATGGGCCAACATAGCCCCAAGATGGGCCAACATAGCCCCAACATGGGCCGACATTGCCCTCAAGATAGGCCACCATAGCCCCAAGATGGGCCAACATAGCCCCAAGATAGGCCGCCGACCCTCAAAATATCCTGCGTTTTACAGCGTTTTTTTGCTGTTCCCATTTTTCGGATCTTTTGGCTCCACATGGGTCAACATGAGGCCAACATAGCCACAAGATGGGCCCACGTTGCCCGCAAGATAGGCCAACATACGCCAACATAGGCCAACATATAGCCACAAGATGGGCCAACATAGTTGGGCCCCTGGCCGGCTGTCGCGCGTAAGCGCTTAAATCCGGCCAGGGGCCCCCTGGCCGTGGCATAGCCGAAGGCGTTTCTCTCCTCTCCGTAGGAGAGAGGGGCCGCGCCCCCTGCCGCAGGAGAGTCGGTACCGCCAAAAAGTCCCGCGTTTTACGGTGTTTTGTGCTCGTCGCATTTTTGCGGCTTTTCCCGGGGCAAGTGGTCTAAGATGGGTCAACATGGGCCAAGATAGGCCGCAAGATGGGCCATCATAGCTCCAAGATGGGCCAACATAGCCCCAAGATGGGCCAACATAGCGCCCAAGATGGGCCAAGATAGCCCCAAGATGGGCCATCATAGCTCCAAGATGGGCCAACATAGCCCCAAGCTGGGCCAACATAGCCCCAAGATGGGCCCACATTGCCCTCAAGATAGGCCAACATAGCCCCAAGATGGGCCAACATAGCCCCAAGATAGGCCGCCGACCGCAAAATATCCTGCGTTTTACAGTGATTTTTTGCTGTTCCCATTTTTCGGCTCTTTTGGCTCAACATGGGTCCACATAGGCCTCAAGATCGGCCCACATAGCTTTCAAGATAGGCCAACATAGCCCCAAGATGGGCCCACATTGCCCTCAAGATAGGCCAACATAGCCCCAAGATGCCACAAAATGGGCCAACATAGTTGGGCCCCTGGCCGGCTGTCGCGCGTAAGCGCTTAAATCCGGCCAGGGGCCCCCTGGCCGTAGCCGAAGGCGTTTCTCTCCTCTCCGTAGGAGAGAGGGGCCGCCGCCCCTGCCGGAGACACCTTTGCCCGCCAAAAACCCCCGCGTTTTACGGTGTTTTGTGCTCTTTGCATTTTTCCCATTTTTCGGATCTGGTGGTTTAAGATGGGTCAACATGGGCCAAGATAGGCCTCAAGATGGGCCAACATAGGCCTCAAGATGGGCCAACATAGCCCCAAGATGGGCCAACATAGCCCCAAGATGGGCCAACATAGCCCCAAGATGAGCCAACATAACCCCCAAAGATGGGCCAACATAGCCCCAAGATGGGCCAACATAGCCCCAAGATAGGCCGCCGACCCTCAAAATATCCTGCGTTTTACAGTGTTTTTTTGCTGTTCCCATTTTTCGGATCTTTTGGCTCCGCACGGGTCAACATGGGCCAACATAGGCCTCAAGATCGGCCGACAAAGGCCTCAAGATCGGCCCACATAGCCTTCAAGATAGGCCAACATAGCCCCAAGCTGGGTCAACATAGCTCCAAGCTGAGCCCACATTGCCCGCAAGATAGGCCAACATAGGCCAACAGATGGGCCAATATAGTTGGGCCCCTGCCCCTGACCTCGCGGTGGGGTGCGCGTGTCGACAGAAACCCCTGTAATTTACAGTGTTTTTTGGCCCTGTGACATTCAACAGGTTTTTGCACTAACATCGCGCACGATCGCCCAACATAGCCCCAAGATGCCCCAACATAGCCCCAAGATGCCTCAACATCGGCCCATGATGGCCCCAACATAGGCGAACATTGCCCCAAGATGGGCGCAACATGGGCCCAAGATGGGCTAACATAGGCCCAAGATGAGCAAACATAGCCCCAAGATGGGCGTAACATGGGCCCAAGATGGGCTAACATCGGACCAAGATGGCACAAAATGGGCCCAACAACCAACAACCAACCACCAACAACCAACCAGCCACCAACAACCAACAACCAACAACCAACAACCACAACAACGACCACAACCACAACCACAACCACAACCACCGCAACAACAACAACAACAACAACAACAAGAAGCAGGTCAACATAGTTGGGCCCCTGGCCGGCTGTCGCGCGCAAGCGCTTAAATTGAAAAATGATTCATAAGTCAAACACCTGGACTGGAATTCAACAACGGCTTTTGAGGGTGCCTTCGATCGTTGATTACCTTCAGATTTTCCTCCAGGTTCCTCTTGTTTCCAGACTGGTCCTTCAAAAATTAATGGTTCCTGACCTTGATGTGACTGCAGAGAAATGAACCCTATATAGCCATTGGCAAGACAAGGAGCACATATGTGAAGAAAGACACACCAAGTGATGCGACAAAGACCCAGTTGTAGGTGGTCGTGATGAAAGTTGCACGGTAGTTCATGGTCAGAACCACCTAGGAGTCGTGGGAGAGATGTTCTGTTTAAACGAATCCCTTCTGCTATGATTTCAATGGAGACGTGCCTTTCCGCTAGCCTTCGTCTCATACAAATGGAATGTTCAAGGATACACATCAGCCAGAGCACCCAAGAAAAAATCATGAAGCTGAAGGAATAGTACGATCCAGTAGCACCAATGTCAAGATCACCAACGCTGACCACGGCAACCTGCCACAATTGGAAATTTGTGACCCACCATGTCTGGATGTGCCTGAAAGTGTCAAGGATGACATCCCTACCGACCTAGCAAATTATCGTTGCACGTATTTGAGCATTTGCTCATCATACTTGGAAAGTAATGGCACAAAGCAAATGATGGGCATCTTCAGCTTTCTGCTCGGCATCTGTGGTCTGCTTGCTCGACTTTGTTTTGTACTACTGAACTAGCCAAATTACTGCCAGTGGGGCAAGGGGAAAGGGGGAAACGAGTGAAACGAGTGAAACCAGTAGCTCAAAGACTGGCACTCCCAACCAGATTCCCTGACTTCCAGTCTGACAAGGAGCTGTCATGATTACCAAGGAATGCACAAATGCTGATAGAAGCATCTCAATCATCTTCGAAAGATTCAAGTCCTAAGTTCGGAGAGCTTTAGAAATTGTGAAGATGTTCAACTATGTCAAACTATGTGACACTAAACCCATCTAAACCTGTTTGTTGGAATCATCGAGCTGAATGAAGGAACTGAAACGTGGATCTGGATGTGAATTCCTCAGATGCACGCCCAGAAATATCAACAAATACCCAAACCGCCCAAACATATGAAACTACAGGAAGGATCTAATCCAAGGCGGCCAGTCTCGTAGAGGGCGGGGAAGCGAATTGCTTGTTCATCTGTGACATCCCGATCAAAGAGGCCAGTGGCGATGATAGGCCAGAAGAGAATCATGCTGAAAGAGGTCCACACTGTGCTTGTAAACATGCCTCTGCTGTGTCCAAATACAGATGCAAAATATCGGAACTCATGTGATTTGGATCTTCAAAGGAGGCAATTGACAAAATCTGTTGCATATCTGTTGCTATGGCGGATGCCATGTGTGAAGGGCTTGCTTCAAATGCCAAAAAGAAGGCAAACTATAAACATATGGTCACATACGGCCACCTATCTTTGGTCTGGTTTGGTTGGGAGAAGCAGGAGAAGTGGATCAATCTTCAGTTCTCATACCACCCAACTACGGATCTGTTTCTCTTGGGGTGTGTTAGATGTTCTATCTTCCAGTGAGGTACCAACCGTCATGTTGTAGTTGATCAGAAGGGCTGGCCAAGCTCAGCGGGATTACCAGATCCGTCCTCTTTTCTCACCGTGCGGCGGGTATGTGATCACCTGCACATTTAGATTGTCGTACTGATATCAACCTGCACGTCCCTACTAAACTGTGTCGTACTGATATCACTGCACATTAGATTGTTCGAACCCAATACTGTGAAGTGGCAGGTTCCAGAGTAGCCGGAGAAGAAGGTGTAGTAGAAGAGCAGCATGGTAATGATAGCGTTCTTCCAAAAGGTGTAGAGGATGAACTTGCCTCAGTTTTCCCAGGCAAGCTTGAAATGCACCAACGCACACTCGGACGTATCCATGCAAACACATACACGGTGCCTACTGTAAGTTTATTAATGTATATGATGTTTATTTGCAAGTTCGCTTCGCAGCCATGTTGCAAGTTCGTCGATAGTCCCAGCGCCCGTGGACCACAAGCAATCTTTCCAAGAATCTGAACTGTGCTATCGAAAAGTCCGCAGCATTCACAGCTTGACGTCCTTCCTTTCCTGAAGCAGCAAACGGTAGAAGTCATTCATGGGACCATTTAGAAAGTCAGGGACCTTGAAGCTCCAGAAGAAGACATACAAAATCATGCAAGGATATTCAAAGGTGGCTAGCCATCATGTTGATAGTTTCCAACATGTAGGTGGTTTATCCCATTATTTATAGGGTTTCAACATGTTTCAACCATCCACAGCATTGTGTCTGGTGCAGCCGAGTTTCCAGACACACCGACTCCAACATGGGCCTCCTGGATCATTGGAACATCCTCAATGTCTGCTAGACTCCAGTACGAGGCCAGCGAAACTGTCACGGGGAGGCTGAAAATGGCTGAAATATCTAAGTCTCTTCCAGAGCATAGCGTTTGATGTGCACAGAATTAGCCATGTTCTCGGCAACACCATGCGAGCGACATTTGACACGCAAGAACTAGCGAGTCACCACAGTGAACTCGAGCTCCATCAGCATTGTTTCGACTACTCAGACTTCAGCGCCAAACGTGACATTGTTTGAGACAGTTGAACCGATCAACGTAACATGATCTTCTGAGCTGTTCAGCATCGCAGGGTGACATTACCTGCTGAATCTTCAAACGAGGCACGTTTGCTCCATCTCCAATGGCCAGTGTCACCGGTTGTGGGTGAGCAGAATCTCGTACAAGTCCTTAGGCGGCTCAGTGGTCACTGAAGCTTGGCTGTCTCAATTTGATCAAACTTGATAAACACTTGTAGATGTACTGCAATGGACACATACAGATACCAAGGTAGGGTGAAAGATTCAGAAATGCCAAACATAAAGACATGGTGATTCTTTGCAGCAAGCCAGAACAAACAATGCGCTGGGCTCGACCTTGTCTCCAAGCTGCATTCTCCTCATCTGTCCATCTAACAGGATGTAGATTGTGTGACTTGGAAATACTTGGAACATCTTAGAACTTAGAATGTTTCCCTTCTTGCTCCTGGAATGATCGAGCAAAGGTGATGTTATTCTATGGATTGCCCCGCGCATGGTGTCGAGTGAGATCTCTTCTGAACGCTGATCATCATCAACACAAAAAATGCAGGCTAAATCACAGTTATTGTTTGCCTGTTTCCTGACACCGCTTTCCATTGGTGCAGCATACTAGCTACAGTAGTACCAACCAGAATCTACACTCTTGCTCTAGATCTTATTATATCTTATTGATTGCTCTCTGATGTCTCTGACTGGAAATCTCGCCTTCCACGGTCCACAGCTACTCGCAGGATAGGATTGGGAGACTCGCAAAGAATGGAGCAAGCGTGGTGGAATTGCCACTTCCAGCCTATTTTGCAGTCTAAGTGTCGGACCAACTGTGACTTTTGCAAAGGAGACACACGGCATGCTACCACCACTTTGCAGCCCTGGGAGATTTCGAAAAAGTCCTGGACGCTGCACGAACACCAGAACCAGAAGCGGAAATCTGGGTACTGTGGGTGAGATATCCATTGCTGCAGTTCATTGCAGTGCCCACACAAGCATGTCAAACATGTCCAACTTATCCAAACATGTCAGGACTATCCCAAACACATCAAATAATTCAAATATCTGGACATCTGGTGGCTTTCAATTCTGTTTTTTAATCCGCAGTCCATAGACTTGCATCATCAAAGATCTCCCGTGCTGAGTCCGATTCCTCCATAAGCGACTCGTGCGAAATTTGTTCCAAGGCAGCCCCAGTAACCATTAGAGCGCAGTCCATGTTACTCTCCTGGCGGTCCAATTGGCCCTTTTCCCAGAACAACAAATGAATGACCGAGCCGTGCCTTCTTGTGCGTACATATTGAATCTGATTGAATTACATCCATTTATACACTTATGCAACAAGTGGAATTTGTTTTCTTTCTGTACGTACACACACACACACATGTATATATATATATATACACAATGTATATGTATATACATACACACACTCTATGTGTCAATGTATCCACACAACTGTACGCAGTATGCACGGTGTGGAATGGTGGAATCCATAATATGGGTTGCTCCAGCACCTCTCTAACACTTTCTTGCCTTGCTTGCGATGATTACACAAGGTCTTTTCATTCGATGTTCTTCGGCTGGAATAGACAATTCATGACAATTCGATTCTTTGTTATTCTTTGTTTCTCTTTTTTCCCCATCAACTGAATGGCATCTTCTTGCATCAGCTGGTGCATCTCCCCAGCTAGACCCCGGTGACCCCAGCAGGCAAGCCTTGGCCTTCTCGTGTTGGATACGAATCTCCTGGATTTTTCAGGGCTTGAGTTTGCGGATCACGAAGTTCGAGACGACACATTGTCACCAAGGAGACTGAGGACCGTTTGGAGGTTTACAATCATGGCTTCCTCCTTGCAACTGTGGAGACAAGGATAAAGGTCTCCCACGGTGATGTAGCTCAAACACAGCTGCGCTGATATTCGAAACAGGACTTATTTATCGACATGTACCATTATGATTCTGTATGTACAATATACGTACAGTGTCTACTAATGCCCCTTCAACTGTCAACCCTGCAGTCTAAGTTTGTTGGAACTAGCGCGTGAAGGCTGTGCCTAGATAGGAGATAGCTGTGGGGCTGCAAACAGTGGCAAACAAATTGAAAGAATTCGTTCCAGCAGTTAACGTTAAAATGTTTGAACATTATCATTCAGTGTTGTAGCGGTATGTAACGGTGCTGATTTTTATGTCCCTTACTGAGGAAAGTCGCATTGCTAGGCTACAAATAAAGGCGGGTGTGAAGAGCAACCACATTTTAGGCTACCGAAAGGGACCTGGGCAGTACCTCGCAAGTAGCCTCCAGCGTCAGGCCCACGAACACATGCGATGCGAAAGCCACAAAGGAGTGGTGCTGAGCTGCGGACACTGGGATGAATGTGTGAAAGATCTACAGTTGCTTTGGTTCCATTTACTGCACCTGGGCCATAGTTTTGATAAAACATAGATGATCAAGTTCCCGTCCGAGGGCAACGAGTGACATGACGGGTCCTCCAAAGATGCTTTCAAATTCTCGCCCGTCAAGACCCCAATGTCCTACTACCAGCACAGAGACAGAACTCACTGAATCCCAAGTGGGCGCATGAACGCTCCTTCAATTCCACTAGAGTGCAGCAGCATATCAATTCCTTTGTTATTTTTGTCTCTGACTTAGTTGACGCAAATCACACATTTGAAGGACAAGAATAACAAAGTGTCAGCTACTCCCCTTAGTTTATCTTAGTTTGCCTTGTCTATGCTGAAGACATCACCAGGTTATGGGGAAGGGCTACAAGCTACAAGAAGATGTTGGTATATAATGGCAGATGGAATATGACAAATACATCACAATAATTACATCAACCTTCTCAATTCCAACAGTAACAACCACTCTTTCACCATCTTTCAGCAAATACGGTAAAGTGGTGTGTATGTATATATATATGTATATGTGTATATATATATAAATATTATGCAATTGCACCTGTCATTGTCAGTTCTGAAGCCCTTTGTTAAGTTTTCTGTTGTCCAACCGTCGGCCAGCGGTCCATCGCAGCACTGAGGAGCTTGGTGCTGAATCCAATATTTCGCGCAGTCTCCAACTTATCACCGGTCAGGACCCAGAGCTGAATTCCAGCCTCTAAGGTGGGCTAGAAAAAGAGGGAAAACGCGTCATGGAAGTGGTGGAACTAAGGTGTGGGTAAGTCATAAGACATAAACTTTGTTTTTTTTTTGGGGGTTGTTTTACACATGTTTATATCATTTTAGACCATGACCATACCAACCATTTCAGGTTTAAGACACTCACCCCGCAGATTCAATTTCCTCCAAAAATGTCCAAGGGAGAAACCGTGCGGCAACTTTGGACTTCAAAACCCTTGTGGCCTCCCGTAGCTTTTCAATGGCATCCTTGGATCAGCGCGGTGCCAACTGGTGCCCATGGCAAGGAGACATGCAGCCATCGGTACAACCAGTACCAGTTGTGCGGCCAAGTGGCTGGAACTCCAACCTGCAACTTGTCTTCGATTCCAGTAATGCCTAGCAACTCCAGGCCCGTCTCGATTTTTTCTGCAACTTCCTTAAGTTTCAACGGGACGGAGATGAACTCTTCAAAGTGGCATTTTCTGCTGTCAGGAGTGGAAGAGAATGGAGTATCAAAAAAACATGTTGGGACAAATGACATGCAAAATCATGCAAATATGTTCATTTGCGCTTGAACGGAAAAAACTCTGCAACCTGTCTGCAATGCTGCGCTCAGCTGTAGCCACTGGGAAGGTTGTGCCACTATTTGAATCATCACCGAGGGACTTCCAACCGGCTGTCCCGATCATCCAAGCTGCACCTCATCATACTGAATTGGACATCCAGTGGGATGCACAACAAAAGGCAATCCATTTGGTGAAACGATGAATCCAACTCCGCTTGTCAAGTAAACACAAAATATGTTGACCGGCCCAAGCTCAACTACATCATTCCATACACATACTCATACATCTTCAATCCACATAAATACATCAGATCATGGATCATGACTATTTACATCTTCTGTCTGCCATGTTTGTTTGTTCGCCTATTTATCCATTCGTAGCGAGCCTACTTGGGTATATGTGGGTCAAATTGGAGTAATGGAGTCACAGAATTGGCTCCAGTTTTTCTATTGATCCCAAAAAAGATAGAAGCTTTGGAACCTGGAACCCCATTTCTTGTGGTGATCATTTTGACCCATAGCATATGTGAAATCACTAACCAGCCATTGGCTTCATCATCCACTGGTTATCTGCCCAGGTGGCTGTGCTGCATCAAAGTCCTTGAGCCATCTCTCCGCCTCGTCTGGTCCCAGCAAACGCCGGCCCAGGACTAAGGTCCTGTTCCAGCGTTGGAGAATATGGTGTAGGGGATCATCATGGTGATAAGGATAATATCACATTCTTTAAAATATCTTGACTTGAGATGTCTTGAGTGGGTAAAAAAAGGAACAATTTCTGAATCATCATTCTGTGCTCGAGTGGGATGAACTGAAATATCTGAAATCAACTCGGGAAACTGCCAATATCTGCCAATCAGTGATGTTTTTTTAAGAGACTCCTGAGGCCATCTTCAGAGAAATGGCTCAAGTTCTGGTCGATCCACTCCGGCACCTCTGCTCCGACAAGCTCCGACAAGACATGTCACTGCTGTCAGTGTGTTGTCCTCTACATGTTTGTCCAAACAACCTGGGATCTGACCGAATCTACCATGCTTCCTCAATTTGCACTGTGCAGTCTGTTGTACCAAATGGCATACAAGCGTTTTTCATCGTTTTCACCTAGTGTCACTGCATCGAATATCTGAAAATAATGGAACATCTCCAACGTCAACTCCTTGATTCTATGGCCACGGTACACTCGATGCACGAGCGATCATCACCTTGGACTGGTAGCAGATGTTGCTCCCGCATCAAATAAAACCGAGGTAGGAAAAGCATGGAAAAGCTGTACAGATTCCAACAAGCGAGTAGTCAAACAGATGAGGAACAAACAGACCCATATACAATACACATCAATACACAACTTCCAACAAAGCTAGAGACGTATACCAGTATCCCCGAGTCAGGATTGCAAGGCAGCAAGTTCAGGTTGTCTGTTGGGCACATGCCACCTTGTTCAGTCCCCTTCGCTCTGAACTCTAGTCTGCAAAGATCTGCAAAGTGATTAGAACAAATTCAATGCATTTTGCATGCTTCCACCCGCATCTCAAGCAAAAGACATCCAAGGAGCATGAAACAGAATTCCAGTACATGGATGTATATGGTAGTATCCCAAATCTATTGGTCTCAGTCAAGCCCTTGTGCCATCATGACCACCAATCACTGGTATACCGTCGTAAAACCAAAGAATAAATTTACTTTTAGGGATGGTTTATAACACCCATTTATGATCATATTGGGTATGATCTGGGTATGATGGAGTATCATTGATCTTCATCAGTATTGATATTCATCATCATTCATAGCCACCAGAGCTCTTCATCCAAGTCTCGTTATCTGCGCCCTTGACCCAAAGCCACACGCGCCCATCTGGTGCCCTTGCCACCGTGGACATGCGTTTCCTGCAGCGCAGGAAGAACCTAAAACAGTGCATGTGCTGTGATCATGTTGTGCTGGCCCAAAGGGTACCGGTGTCCAGCATCACAATCACTGCGATAAAAATGCCCTCCTGGTGGAATTGAAGCTGTTCACCGCGAGGATCTGGTAGACTTGGTTCTGGCCATGGACGTTCACCACAATGGACTCTGCAGTGCGATGACAGAAGCGCCTGGAGCTTTGTGATTTTTTTGATTCGGGAAAGTACTTCACTGGGATCGAACCGGTGCAAACGAACAACACATCTGGCGCTCAAATTGCTCAGCTTAACAAAACAGTTTTGCTTCAAAGTGCAACAAAAAACCAACACACGTGTGGTGCCCTGCCTGATCCTGATTTTTTGTGCCCAATGCCCAACTCATCTTCAACATGATTTGTCTATATTTGTCTAACATTCAAATGGTTTACAATGCTTTCATGAAATGTGGCTGGTACAAATTCAGCCAAGTGACCAACCCAATTGCTCCGCGCCCTCGACCAAGGCCCCTGTCAGATACCAGCAATTGCTGAACAGGAACAGAACGAGTCGATGTCTATCTGTATCATTCTGTATCAATTTATGATAATTTATGTATCAACCTTACCAAACCCTTTACTTTTGTACTGAGACTGTGAAGCAGGATTTGAAACTACCCGTGTGCAAGCTCACACATAAAATCCTGGTAAGTAAAGCAAAGCGAGCTTTAGGAGGCACCAAAGAAATCCCTGCTTTGGCAGCCTCAACCTTCTAAAAGAAAACCCTATTGCAACCACCTTTCATTTGTGATCCTCTGTTCGGTGGCTTATATAACAAAATCCGCAAATGTTTTGTTGAAACAACAAAAATCATCAAACATCAACATTACTCAGTACTCTATGACTTTGGACGACTCAGAAGCCTTCGTCCGGGCTCTCCGCTTCAAAATATTGCTCTCCCTTGTTGTTTGTAGCGATCATGACCTGCATGCACCACGGAAAACACCTGCTCTGAACACCTCTTAACAACAGCTGCAGCAGTGGGAATATATTGACCAAAACAGGTATTCCACTGTATGGTGAAATGAAATTCAAGAAAGTAGTTCTGCTAAAAAGTATGTATGGACTTTTGTATGTATGTTTATGATCAGAGTCGATTGATGCATATATACCACACACACACATGCATTCACACACTAGGAGCCCTGGCCGTATGCGCCACAGCCAAGACCTCTAAGAAAGCATCCGCCTAGCAGCAAACTTCCGATGACTGTTGCAGCATGTTGCACTGGCATCAAAAAATCAGACTCATGTCTCAGGCATCAAGGTTACCGCAGTACGTATTGTATGTTATTGTCATTGTAGTGTTTTGGGGATCAGGGATCACCTACAGTAGCATTTAAGGGTCAGCCACGCAGTATAGCCAACTCAATTCTCACATGCTATCCGTGATCGAACTTGATGATTGCTGGGAGATGCTGCTTCCCCTAGACTTATTGCTCCAATGAAGACACTCATTTCATATGCTGTCTGAAAAGAAACTCCCCAGGTGCTGTCAGATGTAGGTGCTATAGACTAATTTCATCCTGTCGAGTGGACACCTTATCTGACAGCCCCAAGATTCCCGTCGAGGTGCTGCAAGACGTTGATGTACATTGGCCTGGCACCAGCAGTGCAACTCTTTCCTTGGTTGTCTGGCTGCATCATGAGGGGAACTCTTCAAATTTGTACTTAACTGAACTTATATGATGTGTCACCACCATCTCACTGGGTAGGGCAGGAAAAAACCTTCTTTGAAGGGGAAAAAAACCTGCCAAAGTACGGGAACCCAAAGCTGCACACAAGTAGGGCTCACCAAAAAAGGTATAGGATCAGAGAAACTTACGATCTTCAACTGACCGGTACTGCAGTAAGCCCCTTGGGGGCCAAGGCGGGTGAGATGCTAGCAATCTCAAGCCACATAAAGGGGAAAACGAAACAGTACAAGGCAAAAAAACCAAAACGGACGACCGATGCCGACAAATCAAGCAGCCGTCCAACCAAAGAAGGGGAAAATCCGAGCTTTGAGCTGGACGCCCTCCAAATAAAATGAAAGGAACACCTCACTCAACCTCTCACTCCGCCGGCGATGTCAAGAAGAATAACCCGGAGCGCGACACAGGCAATCAGGAGGCCGCCAATTCAGCACGACGACGCAAAGTAGCCCGGGCACGCCAGCACCGGACCAGGACAGAAGCCTCTTCCAGCAGAGTCGGTCCACCCAAAGGAGGGCCAAACCCGCCATGCCTCAAAGTCACTGCCCGGGAGAGCTGGTGAAGGATCTTGGAAGCCTCAGGCGCCCACGCGCCACTGGTTTCGACAACCAGAGGCACAAAGGCCACGCCATGTTGTTCACAAACTTTGGCTGTGTCAAGGTGCCGCCGCTTCACGTCAGCATAAGCACTGGCTGCAGACCCGCCACCCCGGCCAGCCTCAACCAGGACATCCAACCGCTGGGGCGCCGTCACGGCGAAGTCAAATGCGGTTGGCCGCCCATGGAAGGAAGGCAAGTACAGGTCAGCAGGTCGGCGCCTGGCCGATGAAGCATCATCAGGGCTCTGCGGCAGCAGAAGCCCAGCTCGTTCCCTCTCTGGTTGGAGCCCGGCCTTCTCAGCCCAGCCGTGCACAAGATCGCGCAAGCTGTTGTGTCTCTGGTTGCGCTCTCCACCGGCCACACACATGCTGGCGTGGACCGAATGCCGGTCCAGCACAGCGTCACAGCGTGGGCACCAAGCATCGTGGCTAGCATCCGGAACCCCGAGCCGCGCACGGACTTCAGAAACAAAGTGGGCAGGCTCCATGCGGGTTCGTCCAGCAGGCAAGGCTGTTAGAAAGGCGCGCCCACCAGGCTCGGCCTCAGAAAGCAAGCCAGCCTTTGCCATGGCAGAAGACGAAGCTAGTTGGGCCTCCCAGCCAGCTGCATCCAACAGGTGGCTGAGGTCCGCCTGCCGTTTGCCAAGAGCAGCGGACAGCGTCACATGTGCAGCCTGGGGCAGCTGGGCATTGAAAGCAGCCACTGCACCACAAGCCTCGGGTGAAGTACCCAAATCAGTGGGGTAATTGGGGTCCAACTCCTGACATTTGTGCGCGCAACCACCAAGAGAAGCAAGGAAGGCAGCGGGAGCATGGGAGTGCACTGAGCGAAGCCCAAGCCCGGCATGGCGCAAGCCGCGGGTGGCTTGTTGCCACTGCTCGTCGGTCAGGTGAAGCCCGGTAAAGGAGCTGAAGCACCGGTGAACCAAAGAATCAAACCCAGCAAAAGCGGTTTGTTGAGCAGTGGGAGGGCTGCATCGCATGCTGTAAGCCATGCGGCAGAAGCCGGCGCTGCTCCTCAGCAGCCGCAAGGCCACCTGAGGGTCCGCCAGCGCACCCAAGGCATCCAGCAAAGCTGTGGCTGATTCGACTCGCCGGCTGGTATGGCCATCCAAGAAAGCATCGGAGCCCACAGGCGCGCCCAGGAATTCAAAATCGCGCACCACCCGGCTGGCGCCATCAGGGGTAGCACAAAGGGCTGCGGGCAGGGGGCCAGGAAAGGCGCCATCCGGGATAGCTCCCACAGCAACCACTTCAGACTTTTGAAGGTTGAGATGCAGACCCAATTCTGCGGCGCGCTGCTGAATGTGGTGAAGGGCGTTGGCCACAGGACCAATGTCCCCTGCAAGCAAGCCATCGTCCAAGTAGAACATGGAGAGGTCCAGCGGCCCTGCTTTCAAGTCTAGGGCAAGCCGGTGCACAGCTGCTGCAAAAAGTAAAGGGCCTAAGGGATCTCCTTGTTGGACTCCCACACAGGACTGCAGAGTGGCCGGTCCATACTGCAAACGGCTGGGCTCGCCATAGCACCATGTAGCCCAGCGGGCCAAAGCCGGAAACCGGAGACGGGCCTCTTGCAGAACTGCGTCACGATTGACAAGGTTGAAGGCATTCCGGAAGTCCAGCTTCACAATCACCTTGTTGACGGCAGCAGTGTGTCGAGCCAGCCACGCCCGGACAGTGTGTACTGCAGCCTCGGCGCCGGCTGGGACAGCCACACCAAGTTGGGCCGGCCAGAAGTAGTCTCGGGCTTCTGCACGAACCACCTGCATCAGGCACTTCCCTGTAAGCCGGCGGAGAATTTCCCCGATGGCAATGGGCCGGACACCTCCACTTGGCTTGGGTAAGGCGATCAGCCCGGCACCGGCCAGCAGCGGCATCACAGCAGGGCAGGCTCGGCCTTGAGCCAGCAGGTTAACAACTGCAGTGAGCTGATCCAACAAGCCGTCACCGACACCAGACTGAAGGCATTCCCGGAGATGTTGGACCCGCAGGCCTGAAGGACCTGGGGCGGTGTCAACAGGAAAAGAGCGAAGAGCTCGTACCACCAGTTCTACATCAAGGGTCGGCGCAACAGGCAGGTCAGCCATAGCAGGCCCGGAAGGGTTGGGCCCAACCGGGTGCAGGGCTTGCAAAGCGCTGACAGTCTCAGGGGTTGTGGGACAAAGGCCCTGAGAAAGGAGTGCTGCACAGGCCTTTTTGTCAAACCCTTCCCTTGCCAGGCTGGTTGCGAATTCCTGCCTCTCTTCTTGGCTAGGTCCGGTCTGGGACCGCTTCCGTGGCTTGGGGCGGGCCCTCTTGCCATCGCTGGATCCGCTCTAAAGTGAAAGCGGCGAGGGCTTTCTGATGACGGCGGCCACCACGAGCCGGCGCACACAGAACAGTCTGAGGAAGCATCAGCAGCTCTGCCCAGGACCGCTCATCATTGTAGGTGGCCACTGCGGCCAGGCTCCGGGTGAGAAGCTGGGCCCAAGCCGGTCGAGCACTATGAGGCACGTGCCGGAGAGTCGGGGTTTGCCCGGCCTGGATCGCCTCAAACGACGGCAGCGCCTCACCAGCTGGAAGAGCAGGCGCTCTGGCCTCCCCACCAGGTGCAGCAGCACGGGCCTCAGGCCGGCAGGTTGGATGCACCCCAAAGCGTGTAGCCACGCCAGTGCTACAAACAGAGCACCGGGTGCGATGCCGGGCCTGCAGCCAAGCAGCAGGCACATCCCCAGCCAGATGGCCGGTTAGGTGGAGGTCCACGTGTCGCCGGAGAGTTGTCTCGCTCGTCCAGCCAGCACATCGCGCGGCATCGCCGCAGGGGCAACCAGACACGGGACAGAACAAGCGCCCCGGCCCTGCAGCTGGCATAGCAACATCTGGCCCGCCGGCGGCGGAGGGAGGCCCATCGACCTCCATCGGCACACCACCACCCGGAGCAGGAGCAGCCCGCCGTGAAGGCCGCTCCCCCCCCACCGGCGTACCAGGAGACGGAGCCATGACCTGCCGCGGCCACCCCCCGACCCTCCAATGCAGAGGGGGGCACCCCCCCGCTGCCTGAAGTAGAGGAGCAGGGCAAGAGGGTGGCCACAGCAGGATTCAACGAACGGAGTTCAATTCAACTGAACTTATATGGAGGTTGGGGGCCTCCATTTTTTGGATAACAGTAAATAGAGGCAACATTTCTGAGTCATCTGAGTCATCTGTCAGGAAAGTAAAATCATTCAAAGTCAAGGAGAAACTTGCAGAAACATCGTTAATGTCGCTGAGATTCACCTCTGAAAAGCCACGCTCTTCAGTGACCTCTCCAAAGACCTGTGGGGCTGAGTCTCGCTACCCAAAAACTAGTGCTGGAGCACAGGATGTACTTACTGTTTGTCCGGAAATAGCGGATACTCCGAACATCTCCGAAATATAGCCATTTTAAGAGGACACTGACGATCAAGGGATTTTGGGGCACAGAATTCCAAATAGGCAAGAAAAACTAGATAGATTGCCAGACTAACTCTTCAGCTGAGGAGGACAGGACCAGAATGATTCCGCATGGATTGCTGACCCAACGTCCATATGCGCACGTGGAGCCTTCGTGCAAGATACTGCATTTTTCAGGTTTAAACTGAATTTATTTCACTGAAAACATCCGAATGGCAGAGGCAATGCCGGCCTTCCCAAGGATTGCTACACCTCGGCAAGGCAATCAGCCCTTGCACATGTAATGTGGATAGGTCTCTTTCAATGAGAACTGCAAGACTCCAAGGGTAAATCGGCAACTTTCTCATCAGAGAACTTGCTTTGCCATACTAAAACCTACCTGGGTATGTGACCTACTAAGGTTGCAGATTCGATAGGACAAACAAACATGCAATATGGATACATAACAATGAACTACAATAAATAGTATAAATATAAGTAATTCGTTCGCGGAGGTGTGACAAGCTTTGATAGACATCATATCCTCAGCGAGTCAGTCTCTGCACCGGACTCTCCATCTGATCTCAGGAAACGGCGCTTCAACTCCATGACGTTCTGTGTCAAAGTTCCAGTCTTGTCAGAAAAGATGTAGCTGATCTGCCCAAGTTCATGACCTGACGCTATCTTTGCTTACTTGTGTGTGGGGGAAAAAAAGCTCAAAAAAAGACACATCTGATGGCTGTGGGCTGCACAGCCATCTGTAGCGTTGAATGAGAGACTAGGAAACGCGCCTGATGAAGTGTGTGACATTGAAGGAATCACAAAGTGATCGATCTTCCCCAATTTGACGAAGCAGTTGGGCACTGTTGAGATTATCAGGGGCCTCTGTAGACATCTATAGACAATACGGTTTTCAACAGCATACTTCGCATACTTTGCATACTGCACCTGCGTCATTCCCTCTGAACGGGGACATACTATGGAACCATATCCAAAGTCTTTGGTCGAGACACACAAGTTCGTCGATCGCACAGCTGCTGGACAGTCCTGAACAAGGCTGACAGAATGGGCCAAGGATCATCAATTGTCAGGCTGACAGTATGAACGCAGAAAGAAACCTGAGCTTGCCAGCTTCTTTCACAAGCTTGAGGCTGATATCGATAATATACATATGTATATATATAATATTTTATAATATATATAAACTATTATAAAATGTTATATAATATTAATCTAAACAATCTTATATAATATTAACAATACTTACGAATAAGTAAAAACACAAACAATGATCATAAGATATGATAATCCAGCGTATGGCCCGAGGGTGGAAGGGCAGTCATGTACACCCAACTGGCTGAGAACGCAAAAACCATCAAACACATTCAAAAACAATTATATAACACATCTGGGTCTACACTAGTGGTTTCACATGCTGTTTTCAGTCTGTTTGCAGCAATCACTTTCTCTCATCATCTTCTGGCAACTTATTTGGCTTTTGCAGACCATTTGCCGATCTAAGCAAGGCCGATCAACCAGAGTAGTAAAGTAAAGTCATCTGCCATTGAATCATTGACTGAAACCGAACGAACACAATATGACTCTCGACTCAAAACGCTGGCTACATCACTAAAATGAATGCCAAGATTGCCTGATCTTCATCGTACATGGCGAGGTCATTCTTTACAAAGTATGCCTTCCGCTTCAGAAAGCCAAGTTGGCACCAACCGATGAGTGCATTTGATCAAGCTTGAGAAGTATTGTCTCTATGCCGAATGCGCAAAAAGTATCAAACCAACAGAACAAAGCCAGCAGAACAACAACATCTGCCAGCTTGGTGCTTCGTGAAATGTGTTGAAAGCAAGATTTGAAGGGTCGCGCTACCAAGGATAAATGCTGTGTACTTTATGAAAAATCAAATGCTTGGCACCTTACAGGCTTCCAAGGCTGTAGATTGACAAACTGATTCAATTCATGGACACTATCAGCAAAGAAACAGGGAAAAAGAAGAAACTTGGGTTGAATGGATGGTTCCCGGCCTGAAAAAAGTTGCAAATCTCCATTGCTGCGTACAAGGATATAGGCATGAGGTTGGAGTAGAGAATAAAAAACCTGCAGACTCTTTAGAATCAACTTCTCGGACAGCAATTTCGAAGTGCTGTCAGCTATGTTGTCGTGCCAGCCCCCTATATATTGTCTATTGTAAGCATACCTGACTTGTTGAACTGGTTGGGATTTTACCTATTATGTATTTCTTCATCTCACAGCTTCAGCCTTTTCATCCATGGATTAGCACCAATATGCTATATGCTCAATGTATCTCAATGTGGGTCGTACACATCCATCAAAATCAATTCTACGATATGCAACGCCACATGGCCACATTGTGTTACATCGCACAAAAACTTGGCCACAGCGCAGTAGCCAAGAGGCTTGAACCAATTCATGACCAATCGAGTCGCAGTAGCTAATTCGATCGCGGTGTCTGGAGGGTATAGATACCACAGGCTCTTGAACCTACCTTCATTTGCCACGTACCTGGGGCACCGAGACTTGCAAACACTTAAAAAATCACCTGCAAATACTTGTTGAACTATTTTTTAGAAACAAAGAATGGAACCCTGCTTAAAATTCTTGGTCTAAGATTCTCCACTGGCAATCTGCAGTCATTGGAGCTACAGGGACCACAGTTTGGGAAAGAAAACACAATGGCCAGCAACAACTTACCACTTAAATTTAGTTTGTCTGAAAATCAGTTACTCCCAATTAGAAACTTGTTTCCCCTATTATTTGGTGGCAATAACTGGGGGGGCAATCCCCCATTTTCAGACACACCGATTTTCAAACGAGAGGCAGAATAGAACTAAGAAGCGACAGAAAGGACTGTGCGCCCAAGACAACCAGCATCGCTCTGTTGACGACCTGCTCGTTGTACAAAATCCAGCTTCAAGGGCATGCCCGTTCCAATCATTTTTGGCGAAGAAACAAACAACAAAGCTTTGCGGGAAGAGTTTTTATCATCAATCTAATGGGAAGCAAAAAAATAAAAAAATGCTGAGCAATGGCTTCAGGATGTTGACCCTCAGCTTCAACAGGAAAGATGTTTTTTTCACTGACCCAGTTGTACTGCGCCTGTTCAAGGTTGGCTTGCTTGGTGGGGATCTCCCGTGAGTTCATCGCCATCCGGGTGTGTGGCCCAGTGTAGACCACAACACCAAAAAGCCACGCAGTATTCCGGAGCTGTGTGCCACGTAGCAGCAAGTTGGCCGCAGACCTCAACAGGCCAGGAAAACAACGCGATCTGCAGGCGATCTGCGATGATCTACGAAAATCTCAGATTCCTTCGTATCTTCACTGCGGCACTGTGTACTCATGCAATGCAAGCTGTGGCAAAAAGGAAAAGCGCGGAAATGTATCTCTGGCATAGGTGGCCGTCCTTGTTCATATTCACAATAATTGATAATGAATGATAATGATGCAACTCAGGATGTAGTGGCAAATATATGCAAATATATTGCCCAAGGCACAAGGATTCTTGGCTTGTCTGGCTGTTTGGAAGTTCCACTGATCCTAGCTGCTAAGCTTGCTCTCATGTTTAAATGCACCCCGCAGGATCTCTGCGAATCCCGCTGCCACTGATATTGCTGCTGAGATCTACCGATTGACCGAACTGGTTGCAATATGCAAGCATCCCACTCTCCCCAAACACCGACTATATCTGACAACACTGACTACACTGTGCACTCTACATGCGCACCAGCAGCAGTCCTGTGAACTTGTTGATGGACTTTGTAGGAGCCTGCCAAGGTAACCATCGACTGCAACACCCACATCCCTGTGTTCCATGCATTGTCCCAGTAAAACCGTCTACTGAACATTGGAAACCATGGTTGGTTGGTTGGTTGACTCTGCAGAATAAATGGCATCACAGTGGATCGTGACGTCCCCTGGCCTTTACACGTGTCCAAAGCTGCATTTCAGCAAGGACAAAGCAGCAAATTTGAATCAGGTGACAGCGCTGTGTGCGGACTGGAAAAACACCCTTTTCAACATCTTTTAGCATGTTTCTCCAACATGAAGATATCTGATCTATCTTTGCTTCATATGCGCTTGCCCCAAACTCCCTAGACAATTTTGAACGCTAACACAAGACAAATTCTGAATCTTCAGTTTGGCTCATTTGCATGCTCAACAAACAGTACAGCCACCGTTGAATGAGCCGCCTCAATGTGCAACAGGCCGTTGATGCCAGGAAGGCATTCAATGGCCTGTGAAATTAAGTGACGTTGAACTCGCGCACGTCGTCACTGTGCTATGCCAAATCTTTGTCACAGAGGAACCAATGAAGCCACACTATGCTTGGTGAAACCACGTCCAAAGCACAGAGAATTTGCACTTGCACTGTTTTCAGGTTCTTTCCCTCCAGAACTGTCTCTCGCAGGATCTGTTTCGAAATGTCCGTGGTTTGTCATAATTCTCAACACATGCTTCCCCATTTCTATATTTATTTTGCATATCAAATGGTTGGAAGGCAGTCAAGCAAAGGCTGGTTGGTCTTTGGAAGAATCGCTGGGGGTTCAAAAGGATGACAAACCGTTGCTGAAAACATCGCGAAAACCAGACCACAGAAGTTCCGGTCCTGGTCCAAAAGTGGTGGACCTTCTTCTTTCTCTTCACTGCCTTGAGAGCCCGCAACAACCACAGGAATCAAAGAATAGCTTGCCGCCAGACAACTGCTGACACACTTTTGCACGCCATTCCGTTCCTGGCTCGGTAATACTCTAAGTCTATATTGTATCAAAAGAAGCCTCGATTCATTTGTGTTGATACGATGCCAGTTTTCTCCATTCCAGGGCGCTAGAAATGCATGGTGCGCTGTTGCCCAAACCCAAGGCAACTCCCAGCATCTTGGGCCATGGCAAAGGTAGCTTTGTGCTAGACCTTGGCATCAGGATGAATCCAGGCGGCAACTTTCTCTGTGCCGGGTTCAATCGATGACTTTTCACTGAAAAACATGCTATCACATCTTGTCAAACTTCATGAGAATATCTAGAATAAGCCAAAAGGAAAACATCAGGAAAGAAAACAATCTGACAGGATACCAACGCAGCTCTTGATCTTCAAGTTGGTCTCACCGTCCAGGTTTGCCTTCAGAGTGATGCGATGAGAGACAAACGTTTGATTTTCTACGGTTTGTTCCACATCTTCCGCCTTTTACGAATGCAAACAAATGTTGATTAAAACTTGAAAACACAACCATCGCCCGTTTTCTTTCAAGACCCGTGGAGTGGATTGCCACTTTCATTGGCATTGCAGCCTGCGTAAGCAAAAGCTTTAGCATCCGGCAAGAATGGCATCGCTACAACGGAAACCAAGGGAAGGGCTTTTTAAAGACCCAGTAAGATGCAAGAAAACAATAAGATATAATGTATGAAAATGATTTTTGCTCTATACTAATTAGCATCTATTTACATACACACCCAGAACCCGTAGTCATTCTATGAATGTCACACTTCCACCAGCGTTTTGTTGCATCTGTGGTACCGTGGAGACATAACATTGCCCCGCGACGCCGGAACAGGCCAACGGAACTAAGTCAGCTGGCAGCTCCTCCTCACCTCAGTATGGGTGATCCATGGTGATCCCAAATATCCCAAATTCCCGAGGCAATTTGTAAAGCCAAAATCGGCCAAGTGGCTCTTGAGCACCAAGATATCACCCACAAGAATGTCCTTGTGGATCATGGAGGCTAGAGTGACTTAACGTGAAAACTTTGTTGCATCCGATACTTCTTAAGTGGCCATGAAAGAAAGGCCACCAACTGTAAGACTGTAAGACTGTGTAAGTCGAAATGCAGAAACAAACTTCCAGTGAGTTCTATCCTGCCTGCGCACTATGAACACATGTCTTGTTTGTATATAGATTCTAAGGCTCGATTCACGGCCCCTCAGCGAGGCACAGCATGAACAAGATGCATGGTTCATGCAGTAAGATCATGATCACAACAATACTACGCATAATACATCATAGTACTAAGAATAATCATCATCATAATATATATATATATATCAACTACAGTATATCAGCAATATTAATTATCAAATACAATTACTGCAGTATGCTGTACAAGTATGATTAGATTTAACTGCAGAGGGCGAAGATATCAAACAAACCTTGCCCTGACTGTGGCTTTCGCCGTGCAGAGAGACACCAACCCTGGTTTGTGGGTCTGTCCTTCCATAGAACAGTGTCCTTAGTTGCAAATCAAACTTGAAAAATGCACGTTTTGGACTTTGCAATGCCATTTTAAGCTTTGTCAATCAAACAAACCCAGAAAAGGCTCTTTTGCCTTGAAGAATTATTGAACAGCCTTCACGACGCTTTCGTATCTTCACCCAAAGTAGCCTAAAGGCTTCCATGTCCGGGGCTTCTCATTTACCAGTGTGGGCATGGGTATCGGCATCTACAACATTCTACAACACATGCCCACCCCGGAACATATCCACAAATCCGCAAACCACACCTGAATGGCTACAAAAGAGATGGACCCATCAACCTTGCACCAGCCCGGTGCTCCGAACGCGCCACGGCCAAGGATCCAGGAAGACTCCATAGGAGCCGCCAATTCGAATCGCTCTGGCACGTTGATTGTTGGTCTGTCGATCGGCTTGGTGACGTCGTGCATCATCCAATCCAGAGATGACCATGCTCATGGCCATCATTGGAATCCTCGGGAAGCTGCTTGGAAGCTGCTTAGCCCCCAGCTGGATCAGAGATGCCAGGTTGGATTGGATCAGATTGGTGGGAGGCTTCCCAGTCACTCCTTTTACACCGTGGGATGTGCCTTGTCACCAAGCGTGTCAGGAATCTCTATGCATTGTACAAGTCCCAGCCGGAGGAATTTCAGGGTTCAAGGCATTTCAAGGCCATGCATCAAAGAGTCAATTTGAGACACCTCAGCATGCCAAGAGCCAGAAAATGTTCAGGGGACTTCCTTAAGTCGAAAATGTGGAGGCTGAATCATCATCAGTCTTCCTGTTGTTTCCATCTACATCTATGCTGGAGAGCACTTCTTCTTTGAAGATTGGTGGCTCCGCAGCAAAGGAATTGCCTGCTGTGCTAGATGTGCTTGGCGCACCCCAGCTCCAAAAACAGAAAAGAACAAGCAGCCAAGCGATGAAAGGAATTGCGGGAAACAAGCTGTCCTGCTCCGAATGGCTAAGAGCAAGTTGAAATGAAAACCACTGGGTCGCCAACCTTGGATTTGGATGGATTTGCATTTATTTTTGGCCTTGGAAAAAAGATCAATTCGCAAAAACGTGGGACACTGACTTTTTGTTAACTTTTTTATTGTCTGTCCAGAATGCAAAAAACAAACAATGTAGGCCATAAGCAGGCCCCAGCAGCATGACCGACATCAGCACAGGCATCAAGATCGAACAGATCACACGATTGTGGCGAGGGCAATGAGGTAAAAGCGTGACTGCTATAAGCCACCCTCGCATACTCAAGCGAAGTGCGTACAACACCACGACACCAGCGAATAGCCAATTCATGATCTCTCGGGAGGCCCAAATCGAATGTTGAAGGATGTTGAAGCGGTTGAAGGAGTCTGGTGGTCCAGCAACTAGGGTGGGAATCAGCGTGCATAGCCCCGGCAGAGTGTTGACAACAACCATGTAGATGCCTCGCATAATGTGTCAGGGCCACTTCATGCGCTTCATGCCACTCCTAGTATCATGAAAACTTACGGACAATAATTTCTGGGAAAGTGCGAAAAAAACGGAGAAAACACACAAACTGTTGAAATCAGAACCTAAATGCTGTAGTTGAAGGGCAAAGCATCACTTCCCACACTTCTCAGCACTCGTGGTGCCAGGTCTTCATGTACAAGTCGATTGAACACTTCAAGGTGTTCTTCCTTCAGGTCGCCTGCTTTCCCGAACCACTTTTGCAACATCTGGAACATCAACTCCCGGTCACATGGGAGAACCTCACCAGTGTCTGGATGACGGTGCTTATGGGAGCAACAGAAACACTTCGCATCTTGAACTCTGAATTTTCTGAGCTGCTGTGGCAATTCCTTCAAGTCTGACATCATTCCAATGCCCAGATAGAAGAGCAAAGGCAAGCACGGCATGTAAAACAGCGAGAAAAGTAAGAAGAAGGAGAACAGTTCTTCCACGTCGTTCACGGTGCTTTCAAGCTTCAAATTCGAAAGCATGAAGTATCCGACCATGATCACCAGCTCCGCCACGAAAAATAAACATAGAATCACCGCCAGCTTCACAGGAATCACCAGAATGGGTTTTTGTTTCTTAGCCCTCAGGAATGTCCCAACCTCATAGGTACACCTGACTCAGAAAGATTGGGCTACGATTGGCTTTTGGGTCTTGCTTGCTTATCCATTAAATCTGGGCAAATTAAAATATTCCGCAGGTCGTTGGTTATTTTCCTTATTTTACCCCACTGTTGGTAAAGCCTTTTTGGGTTGGTTGAGCATATTCGCATGGTGCTCGCAAAACAGCAGAAAATCACTGCAACAAGATTGGTTGTTGTTGTTGAACATCCATCTTGCCAGGAGTAGCAACAGGAGTTGTTGAACAACCACCAAGAAAAAGAAAGCAGGAAAGGAGAAGAAAGGGGTTGGTGTTTAAGGAAAAGAAAGCAAAACAAAGAGAAGAAAGGAGTTGGTATTAAGGTGAACCACCACCAAGAGGAAGAACGCTGTAAGTTCGCAACATTCCCCTTAAAGAATGAACACTCACCGCCTATAGGATGTAGTAAGTTGAGAAAAATCACGAGAATACAAAAAAAACAAAAAACACGTTCTGGAGCAACGCTTGGGGACCATAGGCGGCTGAAATATCGATGCGACCAGAAGATTGTGAGCTGGCGGGAATGATCCAGGAAACCTGCTAGTCCGAAGATTCCCTTCTGCTTCAGCTCTTCATCATGCTGTGCAATGCATAGTTTGTCAAGAAAGACCACCAGTGGTCTGGCAAACATGATCCGAATCCGTTGCCAAAAGCAGAGAACAAGAGGGAAAACAGCAAAGACACTGAGTTGAATCCAAAGTCCGTCGGGGAGGATCTTCGTTGCACGCAAAATGCCCACAGCAATGCTAACAACCAGCGAACAGAAGAACGCCGCGCGGGAGTTGTAGATCATCAACATGGTGCACAACTTGTACCATCGAGATGTCTCCCAATCATGGCTAAGGAACTCATCATAATATTCGGTCTGCCTGCTGAGGTCATAGTTTGAATGATCCACCTTAAACATTCCAGGATCAGGAGGCACAAAATGCTTAGCCCAGCCGCTCATGCAGAGATTCAGCGGCACAGCGCGTAGCAGTTCCGGCTCCAGCTCCGTTTGAAGCTCCCGAGCCACCGGCCGGTTCAACATCGTGGCAGTTGCGGCGATATCTCGAGATTTTCAACAATTGAAGCAGCCATTTTGTGAAATGCAGATCAGTATTCCTGCTGAGAATGAAGAAATGAAGTATTGTATTATTAAATACTATGAACTACTAATGTTCCATCTTGAATAACACTGCTTTGGCCAGTCCGATTCCACCTTTGAAACAAGCTTTGGTCACCAACATAGAATTTACCCCGGCAATCCCTGGCATAGACTTCACCCTGGCTTAGATACTGGCTAAGATACTAAGTTAGTAAGTCGACAACATGCAGAATTCGACGTCATCAACTTTGGCGGGCTGAATGTTCTGAACAACTTTGTCAATGAGAGTCCCTGACAACTTTGCTTGGCTGCTTGACAGCGTTGACAGTGTCAGGAGGGTGGTAGGTTCCATACAAATCATGTCTTGTCGGCAGCTTGGGTCAGACAAACTTGACTCATTCAACTACTCTTTCCAAAACAGAGGTGCAGGCTATCCAAGCATTAAGCATGTCTGATGAAGAGGAATGCGAAACCTCCTGAGTTGTGAGATGTGGTACAAAGTACAAACATTGCTGATGTGATAAGATGAAATAAATTGAAATAACATGACATGGGATAACTACCTACAATTGCAAGCTATGGCGCAATCTTTTTCCACTAGGTGATGCCCTGGCCCCCTCTGTCAGTTGTGCCCAGACACAAGACTGCTGCCTGAATCGATCAATTCGCTGGTGGATTCATTTGTTCACACATTCACACAGGAGCCAAAAGGTAAACACACGCGTGCATACACAACTCAGTGACAACAGGATTCAGATGGTTTAAGTATCTTAAAGATTCTTAAAGAGTCTGTTGCAAGACATTGTTTCATGCAATTTGTTCATCTCTATGGCATCTTCTACATTCTATTGAGCTTAGGTGCCGTAGACCACCACGAAACGCTGCTGTCGATCAAAGGCGTGTGCTCTCCCAAGTACATCAAAACGCAGATGAACGTGAAGTACACATTGGCCCGTTTCCTGAATGCACAAAATCCATCCGGAGAGGAAAAACATGTCAGACAATCACTGCTTTATTTGGACATGGACCAAGAAAGGGGTAGCAGTGGACCCACAAAATTGGTTGCAGTATCAAACCATCCAAATGGGGTGGGTTGAGGATTTTGATCCGATCCCGTATTGCTTCTCTCCGTCATGGAACAGCAAGAAACCAGACTGCATGTGCAACTGCACCAATCTGGCAATGAGCATGGCTGAGGACGTAGCTGTCGAAACCTAACCCAGGGCAAAAATGATGGTGAAATGACCTTGCATATGGGTAATAAAGCTAACAGCTAACGCATCTAACATTAAATCATACTAAATCAATGAAGTCAACACAGCTAGAAGTAAGACTAAGACTTATAACTTATAACATTAAGTCCAAGAAATTCAGACATTCATAAACGAAAACATTCTGCTCAAAATGTCTGCGCCAGGTTTCTGGAACTGTTCGAAGGTCACCAGGGGAAGGAAACTTAGCAAAGTGTATTTTGATGTCGTGACCTCAGGAACAACTGGAACAACCATCAACACCAAATGTGGCCAGAAGACCATCGTAAACTCTGTGCACTTGTAACAAGGCAATGCCAGCCCCTGTAAGAGTGCTGTAGTTTGAGTAACAAAGCGTCTAGTTCTCAACACGCCAAAACGAAACAGCTCACAAAATACCATCACCTAGCTTCCGTTTTGCAGATTTCTGCCAACTTCAGTCATTTTCCTCACTTTTCTACACTTTGGTCCAGTTCCTGTCAGTCTGTGCGCGACGAGTGACGAAGTTCCTGGGAAACGACTTTCCCACCGAAGCATCAAATGCAGCGCCAAAGGGCACCTTTCGCTCCTCTCTCCGAGCTGAGCGTGCCATGGCCAATGTGGCACAGGCACTTTGTACAGCCTCGGTTCAAACAAAGCGGCAACATATCGATATATATATATATACATACATATATATATATAATATAGTATGTATGCACATTGTACTTATACACTGCAACATCATGTTGTACTCTGTGCACTACACATTAGAAATTGTCTGTGTGTATGCATAGTATGCACGTTTTATACACATCAACGGCATTGGATGTACGGAGTGCACCTATGCCCGAAACACCTGTGCTCACATACATGACTCACACACACACATACAAACATATACACGTAGTGCGCACACACATACATACATATATTATTATTATTATATTATATATTAATATGATTTATGATCATTCAATAATAATGTCTAGTGATGTATAATGTATACAGTGCTTGTGCCAAGTGAGCATTCAACGTAGCCAATTCTGGACACGAATGTCTGAAACAAACTGGACTTGTGGTCTTCCCAATGCACAGTAGTATCAGTAGCGGTAGCGTTTTTAATATAATTATATATATATCATTATATTATTATATATATATATTATATATATATTATATAATTACTTCTACCGGATGGCAATACCACTCCCCAAGGAAGGGATGAATTCCACGGATTTTGAGCATCCCTTCATGTGAAAATGCCAAGGAGGATGCATAACCGTCTTGAAGGGCGAAAAAGAAACAAGTCTTCAAACGGACGCAGGATGATCCAGTCACAGTTTTTTTTCCAGTCCTTAAAGTTAACATTGGTTCGCGAGGAGTCCAACTCCAACCGCCCCAACCCTTCTGGCAAGGCCACCTAGATGTGCTGCTCCAGCATTGTGTGACACTGCGGCCCCATCGTGGCTGGTCCTAAAACTACTGGCCATGCGAGGATGCACCAACACATCTTGCAAATTTCAGGTCAAGGCATGACTTCTGGTTGTTGAGGTAGAGAAGAACTTTCCCGATTGGCTGGACTTTGCGTGATTTTGATCTTTGAACCATCTCTACCTGGTGAACTTTCAAGTCTGCATGACTCTGTGATCTTGATACAGTAGTCGTTTGAATGAAGCACAATTTTCCTAGAATATTTGAGATACTTGATTTCCCATGCCGTGGGATGAAGCCTCTCGCTCACGTTCATTCATGTTGCAAGCAATCAAAAGCAAAACTTGAGCAAGTATTTCCGTGGGACTTGTTGGACTTGCGATTTTCAATCACTTCAGAGATTCTACCCATAGCGATCTACTTGCAAAAACTATGTCAACATATGTCAACATATCTTTATACACGCATAAATGACCACAAAAGCATCTAGTTGAAGAATGATCAAATGGATGTGGGTCAAAATGGAAGACCTAGGGGACCACAGATGTCGGTCTGGTTTAGTATTAACCATCCAATTATTGGGGTACCTAATTTTGACCCATACCCAAATATTAATGCATTTCCCCGGTGCAAACACAAGCACTGATCCGCAGCCAACCTCTCGAAAATGACCCACACAAGGCTTCCCATCAAAGAAAAACCGTTGTGTGCAGAACAACTCTTTACCACAGCTAGGCGATCAAAATGTCAAACATCTCAAGTCATATAGTTTGAATAGATTCTGTGAATAAATGAATGTATATTATGTGAATATACGTAGTACAAACATGTATAATGTATAATATAGTTATATCCTTATATACTGTAATGCACAATCTGAGGCAGTTTGATCCACGTCCCAGAATGATACCATACTTTTCTCACGATGCTTTGCGTGGTGGCCGGGTCAATGGCCGAGCTCCAAATATTGAAGAACCTGCCAAAGAATTGAGACAAACGATGACAAAATCGGAACAGCCTGAAGGATTGAGAATCCTCATTTTCATCCTCCATGGTCCTCCAAAATATCCAAAATCACGAGCACTCATTTTCAGTGGAGTATGTGGAGGATGTGGAGGCATCAGGTTGATGTACCTACCCTAGCTGGCCCGCTGGCAGCTTCTCAGCCCCCACCTACTCGAACGGAAGTGGCTCCTCGTTTGATGGCCTTGCAGAAGTTCAGCAGAACCCCTTTTGCAAAAAGGAACACGATGGAAAACCTAGGAAAATCATGGGAAAACCCACAGATTGATCAACTGATTTTCCATAAGTATCTCTCTGTGCCCTGACCGCATCAGCCATGAACTCCAACACACATTGGATATGTTTGGACAACACCACCCAGCCATTGGAGTCACTGGGGCTGACTCCCACCACGTCACAGGCACCTCCTTGAAGTCACCAGACATGCCCATGCTTAACTGCAAGGATTCCTCTGGCACCTCCATCAGGAAACATGACGCGACAGCTTGCAGCCAAACAAACAGCTTTTCATTATGCTCAGTTGAAACACCGCGGAATTCAAACTGTTGTAACTCTGCATAAGTTTCTTCGATTGACAATGGTGGCGGCAAACACCAAACAATACCCAGCTTGCTTCACTTTTGAACATTTTTTAGAGCTCCCTTTATAGTGTTTCACAAGCCTTTCACTTAAACTTTCCACAACATCTGCCTGAAGATGTTTTGCCATCTTTCTTCGCAAATCTTTGAGGCGATCAAAGGCGCTCAAATCTCCGGCTGCACCAATGGTCATCAATCCAGCCTCGCTGCGGAGTCGGATTTACAGCATCACTCCAATTTGGACCACAACCTGTTGATTATACTCATTTTATTCATAATACTTATATAATATATATATAATGATTATAATGTATATATAATTATATGGTTGTTGATCAAAATTCCTTTATCCGGGAACGGCCATTCTTCGCGAATAAAAATGTTACTTCCGCGAAACTTTCGCGAACTCCATATTTATCTTTCGCGGAACCTATGTTTAGTAAGGCAATCATGATATCCAACTTTCGCGAAACTTCCGCGAAAAAAAATGTTACTTTCGCGAACTCGAAACAAACTTTCGCGAGGGTTTCCAACATAACATGCACGGTTTTCGCAGTTAAAACTGTTTACAAGGACCTTTAGATCGACCATATATATATATATAATTATATATATATATACCCATAGCAGTTCATATCACATATATTCACATATCATATCATATATCAAAATAGCATTGCAATATTGCAATGCATTGCATAATATAATAGTGTGGTGTAGTGTCGACAATGATCGTGACGATGAGGCTTGTGAATGCAATGACTAGTGAACGAACAAGAAATCCGGCATCGCTGTTGACATTGACATGCAGTAATCGGTGATACTGATGATGTGACTACGGCTGACAGATGCTGACAGTGTCTTTGGCTATGACCATGCGAGGGTGCCCCTTCGTAATGGTTTTTCTTGGTAGCTGCTGGCTACGAACCACCCTCCGAAGCTCCACACAAAACGAATTTTCAGCACTGGGATCCCTGCCAAACGCACTGAACCGAGGTTCACAATGCTTTCTGCCAGATCCATGGCATCTTGTGGCTGGACCCCACCTGTTGCAAGCGCCACATTGGCTCTGAAGAGTGAAGACGAAATGCATGCAACACATTTTTGTCCAGAAATGCGATGTGCCGCGGTATGCCTCAAAAATATTTCAAGAATATTGGTAAACAGTAAACATACTCTAGGACTTGGGGGTACCCTATTCTTGGATGAACTTGCAGATGGCTGGAAAGGCACACTGCTTCCCCAACTAAAAACACCAATATCGATACATGACATCTGAACATGGCAATCCGGACCGGAAGCCTTTGGTCTCTTCGTTGCTGGTGTCGACCTGTGCCGGCCATTTCAGTGTGACCGGGGTACTGTAATCGTTGTGAAAAAGTGGAGGGACCACAGGAAATGAAACCATGTTAGCCAATTTGGCCAGTGAACTCGCTATGAACAAATGTTCACCTAGACCAAAAAAAACCTTGATCAAGATCATTTTGAATCTATTGTAATTATGTTTTGCTCTTGTCACCCTCTCTACCCCTTTCTCTTTAACAAAGATAAAATATGCTTGGATAAACGTTGTCAAGAAGTCAAGCCCTGATGAATTCCTCCATCAAACCACTGGTTTGCCCACCGAAAAACCACAAAGTGCCGCCTGGATCGAGAGATCCAATGGCTCGGTCCGCGCGTCTGCTGCCACATTTGCTATCCTTCCGGGGCGCCAAACGTGTGGTGTGGTGTCTGGAAGGGACGTGGATGGCAGATCGTTGTAGTGGGTTTCAGATTGGTTTGAGAAGGTGTGCGGTCGTATCAAACAATCGAACAACTAAACGTAGATAACTAGACTATATACACAACAAACATCAACCGACTGACCGTCTGAGGTAGAAAAACAAACAGTCAAATAATCATGAAATCGACAACTTCAATCATGTGTATTTATGTATTGCAACACAACGCAGTGCAATGCAACCCAAGGAGCCCAACGCAATGCAATGCAATGCAACGCAATGGAACGCATGTAATGCATGCAATGCATGTAATGTATGCGTGTACTGCATGTAATATGTGTAATGTGAGTATACTTTGCATGTAATACCTGCAGGATCCTGCAGGTATGTAGTATGTAGGTGGACCCTGACGATTGGATGGCCTTGGTGCAACCATACCTTTTTGGGGGATTGCGCGGGGGGTCCGGTGTATGATGTGTATGTATGCAAGTATCCATGTATACGCATCTATACGAGTGTATGTGCATGTATATGCATGTATACTGTATACGGATGCACGCAAAGAATCTCACGCAATCGACCCTTTGCATTTCCACGACCAAAGTGCACCGCCTGCAGTCTACATTCCTTGTTATACACCAGAAAAATGAGGCACCTCACTTGCAACCAACCACGTGTGTGGATCTGATATAGCAGAAGTACTTCCCAGCAGTACTCCGGCTGTGCCATTTCAGCGATCTCAACAAGAACCATCGATGCTTTATATAGATAGTCCAGATAAGCGCATGCCATGAAATGATTTGCATCAGTTTGCGCCGTTCACATTTTTTATATTTTGGATCCGTTCTACCAGGAAGACTGCAAGCACTGTAAGCTCTGTATGATCGATGCAGGCCGTCAGGTCCTCTTTGCGAGGTTGGCAGAGTCCACAGTTTCGATTGAGACCAAATTTGGCAGCTCAAGCAGCTTCTTCACCTACCAAAGTTGGCAGCTGGAATCTAGCTTGTCAATGCTCAAAATCCTGCTCAGAAACTCAGTGGCTTCTCCTGTGGTGAAGCCCGAGGCCAAAGTGCTCAGCAAGCTTTAAACCCCCTCAGTATCCTTGAGCTTGAGTGATGCCACGACATGCTGCCACGGATCATCTCCAAAAAGTACCAGATTCCGCATCAAATGGAATGGTTAGACAGGACTATTCTTTTGAGCCCACACCTTGTTGGATTGAAGTCGTCCAATGAAGTGCCACCTGGCTGAGAAGTATACTGATTGGGGCTAGAAATGCTAGCATAGGCAAATACTCTTTAAATAGGAACCTGGGTTCTGCCAGGACTTGTAGGTTTGTCCATGTGCGAGTCGTGACTGAAGGATTTATTCAAATGCTGCTTTCGGGTGCTCAACACAGTGGCCGCAGAGTTCAAGTACAGTCAACGGCTAATCCGGTTCAAAGCCTGGTTGGCTATCAAACACGGAGTCATGGACCCTGTCAGCCCTGTGATGAGTACGGATATGAAGATCTAGGTGGGGGCCCCATCCCACATCATCCGACCTAATGGAGTTTGGCAGCTCAGCAGCTTTGTCCAACAACTCCTGGACATAGTTTTCGCCAAAATCCACCTGGGAGTTTGATGCCATGATGTAAAGGAAACGGGTGCAAGGAAGATTTGTACAATCTTTCTTCGGGCACTCATTCATTTGATGAAAAGAGAGGTCAAGGTAGCGATGCGCATGCCGAGGAAATCACCACTTGGATTTTTTTACGGTTACCCGGTTCCTCGTGGTTTCACTTGACACAATGGCAAACTCCGAACGCCTGGCCAGCGTCGTGGGCCGTGCGAATCACATCCGCGGGGATGAACTTTGACACTGCGATGAGTCGAACATCCCGAGGCCCAGCGGCATCAGAGATACTCGACTTCACCTCCAGAAACGAGTGCAGAGCTGAAAGAATCCCTGGTGCGACTCTCCTCCCCTTTTTCAAGACATTTGATCAGCAAGAATCAACAAGATCTAATATCAAAATATATCAAAATATATCAAACACCTCTAACAAACAAGAAGTTACAGAAGTTCAAGTACTTGAATGCTGTAAAATGCTGTAAACTGCACCTCCAAGCAGCTACTGACAGAACATCTACGAATCGTAGGCAGCACAAAGCTGAAGCCGGTGGATTCCACTGCCCAATCTCCCTGAAATTCCCTGAATAGATTACCGCGAAACAAACAATCCAGTCTTGGCATGGCAGCCAGCATGTTGACAGGAGCTAAGAAATGCAACTACATTACAAAGGCAATGCCAGGTAAAATGGACCTTAGGGCTAAACGCACTTGCCGATCTTGGGAGCCCTGCAGCTTGCAATGCCTCTTCCACAGCAAGCGCCTGAACAGGAGAAAAAACAACAAAATAAACAGAGGCTTCCAACTCCGGCTGTTGCTGTGCACACTCACTGCAGCGCGAAGAAAATCATGACCCCGGTTCAAATGAATTTGTTTAGAGGTGACCTGCTGCAATCTGCGCCAGGGAGCATGCTGTCACATGCTCGCTGATGTATGCTGATGTCTGTTTTCCGTTCAAATGTCGCAACTCTTCAAAAGCGGGATCGATCGTCTTAGTGTACAGCAAACTGCGCCCTTGAAACTAGTTGTGCTCCAATCCCCCAAGGTGCCACTAGAAGTCTTGGGCTACAGTTCCATGGCCAAGAGAACCATGGCCTCAAATTTGCTGCTTCAAAGCCGCCACGGGAAATGCTTTGACCACAGTCTTGGCAGGCTTGGCCTTCACGATCACCTCCTTGCCGAACATCATCCTCTTGCCAGCCTTGGTCGCTGCCTTCTTGCGAGTCTTGATCATGCACAGTCCTGGAAGAGTGAACTTGCCAGACTTCTTCACCTCATCTGCGCCGATCTCAGCCAACGTGTTCAGGACCTTGGAAACGTCCGACCTCTTGAGCTCAGTTGCATTGACCAACTCACCAAGAAGAGTTCCCTTTGACATTGCCTTCTGACCCTTCATGGCTTTCATTGCAACCTTCTTTGCCTTCATCGCCTTTGCTGGGGCCATGATTTTAGAAAGGTCACGGGAAGAAAAGACAGCACAAGCAGCTTGAGCCGAATCCCAACTGTCACCACAGAAGGTCAGGGGATGAAAGTCGATGGTGTCACTGCCAACTAGAGCCTGGAGAACTTCAAGCAACCAGACATTCCATCAAATCTATCAACAAGCTTTCTGCTTTTTAATCTTTTTGGTCTAGAGACTCCACAACTTTCATCTGCACAAAGAAACTGTTGCCAAAATCATCCAAAGCCACCACATGGGTCCCGGGTACCCAAGAACTTGCCTGCTGTGGATGACCTCTGAGACATGTAACCGCTAGCACTAGCAGCAGAAATCTGCTGGTCTGCCTGACAGCATTCGGTGCCACCAAGTCTTATTTTCAAATCTTAATATTGAACCCAGAAGGCTGTTTTTATTGCCTCTGATTATGGCAGGAATGGGGAACCTACTTGACTTACATAGGCCGAAAGACTACACCTTCCAACCTCTGACGCTGAAAGATCTGAAAGGATTTCGCTCCGTTGTTCCTCTCTTCGCAGCATGCAGAAAGCTGGTTCTCTGAGCACATATTGAAACAACCGTGCGTGCGTAGGATGGCACCCAAACTTGTAAAAGCAGCACTCTGTTCTCACTTGTGTGTCACGTTGTGCAAGAGCACAGAAACGGCTTGCAAATGCAACATATTTGGGCTGTAAAATGACTTTTGAGACAGCAAGCATTCAGTATAGTATAATTATTGGTCAACCGCATCTCCCATTTATGCCATTGAAAACATCGCTATGCGCTCTTCGGGAAACGGGTCAAAATCACCTCAGTGTTACTCTTCCCACATGTGCAGGGTGCCTGACCCAGCTACGATTGGAAGTCCATCTGAAAGAATAGAAACCTGCAAACGCTGCGCAGGACTCATGACTCAAGAACATGGTGAATCAAAGGCAATTTCAGACAGGCAGCCTCAGTCGAGGCTACAGTTCTTAAGTCCACTTCCAGACTGCACACGACATAGAAGGAAACAGCAAGCTTCAGGCCGCAAAACAAATCTTGCAAAAGCATTTGGCAAATCCAAACGGGAGAGTGCTGAGGATACACAAGAAGTGGAAACGCCCAAGACCATTCGATAATGCCCGCAGAACCAGACGTTCGCCCATGCTCACATAATCTCCCATCTTTGCCACATGTTTGACAGTTCCTTCATCCAAATCCACAGGGATTCCCTCCATGTTTCCATCATTTTTACCATTGGTTCCATGATGTCGCATTTTTCCCAGGATGTACCCTATATTGAATCAAAATCTGAGATATTATATTATATTTTCTTCCATCATATTACATCATTACAGAAGGATCTACATCTGCCACCCCCTCAAAAGATACGTATAAAGGTCTTATAATGGTTATATTATGTTGTATATGTTCCATCATATTACATCATTACAGAAGGATCTAAATCTGCCACCCCTCAAACAATACGTACAAAGGTCTTATAATTGTTATATTATGTTATATTTGTTCCATCATATTACATCATTACAGAAGGATCTAAATCTGCCACCCCCTCCAAATAATACGTATAAAGGTCCTCTAATGGTTATTTTCTATCTTATCCAAAATACAAGTGGTGCAAAAGGGCCGCTTTCTGCGAGAAAAGCTAGGATCCGGGAGAACCGGAAATTTACGTCAAAGAACCCTTCCACGACTTCGTGAGGGTCTGCTAAAAACTCGGGTCGTTCTACCCAAAAAAAACATAGGCTCCGGGCAAACGTCCGGATCTGTGCGCGATAATATTATTTCATCTTATTTCACTAAGCAACTTCTAAATAGCATGGATAGGAGATGAACATCCATGCAAATGTGGTTCCTATCCTTCGCGGCATAGTTGCTTCAGGTCAGATTTTGTGAACCTCTGGATGACTTAAAGAAAGATGAAGAAAGTACGTCAACAAAGGTATGCAGCAGGAAAATCAAGGTAGACGGAACCCATCCAACTTTACCAAGCTGTGGGTATCTCCTGGATCAAATGCTCGACAATTCTGAGCGCCACTGGCCTCCGTCAATGCCTTGTGACTTCATCACGCCATCGGAATGGCGAACGCTGAAAGCAAGGTTTGCTCTAAAGTCCAAATACTAAGGGAATTCGATGTACTACACTACCTAAATCTACCTATATAAATAGAATGAATGGGTTTTTGAATGCGTGCTCAGATGGGAGGCTTGTTTTACAGAGATCAATAGTGACTATATTGTTGCTTGTCCTCTTTCGCAACTAATTATTGTTGTCCAAGTTTTATTTTACTATACTGGGAGCGCACTGTGGACATACCATAACAATTTCCCTCCGATACTTCATGCCTTGCTACCTGAATCCTTGCATCCCTTGACATATGCTGATAATCCAGGGAGCATCCTTCCCCCCTGCTCAGGCACAATTGGCAATTTGCATATCCAAATGGTCAAGCATCCAAAGACATGCACAGAAAGTCAGCAACTCGGATGCTGAAAGAAGTGCTGCCTGAAAACATACAACGCCAGATCATGATCATGGGTAGTCAAGCTTGGAAGATTGTTGCTGTTTCCACAAAGCAATAGCTGGTTCTGACCGAACTTGAATATGCTGTGGAACATTACAAGAGCCATCCCGTCCAAGTGGAGACTGTCAATGCCTCAAATGCAAAGCAGTTGTTTTGCTCTTTGCATGGCGAGGATCATTTACCACGTTGGCTGTCAACAAAGCGATGCTTGGAAGAGCAGGCTCTGCAATGATCAGAATGAGCGAAACTTTCATGGGGCTTTTATCTACTCGAGTTTAGAAAAAACGTGTCCACGGGAGCTGATGGAAACTGCAGGAGCACCCTTGGCTATTCAAGGTACAAGGAAACAAGTAAACGCTGAACAAACCTTGGTAGAAAGTCAGAAGTGCCTCAGATTATGGTTCAGTGTATTGCCCTCTAACAACCTTCAAACATGCACGTGAAGTGCTTGGCTTATCACCAAACACCAAACTCACTCCCTTTTCTTCCAGACTGTATCCACAGGTTACTGGGGACATGCTCATCTTCAGATGGAAAACCACATGAATTTTCAGTCAGCTTGGATCAGCATTCAGCACTGCTCGTGCGACTAAGGTTTTGGTTTCTAATAGCCGCCAAATGGTAAACTTAAGCATGGTATAGCAGCTTAGCATGGTTTGCAACTAGGTTTGCTACATTTTACCACGATATATACAAGATTCTTGTTACAAGATTATACCAGTACTATCCATTCAACTCTTGACATCATATCCGGAAGCACTGGGAATCGTCGCTCTGATTCTGATCATTGAAGCCGCTCAAATGGCCGGGGATTTGCCAAGACTGTGACATCTTTTATCCATTGCTACACCTGGATATCTGTAGCGCCGTGAACATCCCCATGCCCCTTGATGTTTTTTTTTTTGCCACAACCACAACCGCAGGTCACTTGAGATCCATCCAGTAGTGGCAAATCCTATACCGACAAATGCCAGTTGCATCTTGCAACTGGCGGGAGGAGCCAGCAACTGAGTCGAGGAGAAGCTTGGAAGGGAGATGAAGGGAGCAGTTGGAGAAGTGAAATCCAAATGGAGCGTGCAGTTCATCACATTGCATGAGCGAATTGATGACGCGTCAGAAATTTCTTAGAACTGAGAGACTCTTGCTGTACAGTGCCTAACTGGCTTGAAGGTGCATGCTCTGGACAAGACTAGTATGCGTCATTGACATTGGAGTTGTCAATGCCTACTCAGTGAAAAAAGGCTTCGGTTGTTGCCGCATAAGATAACTTTAGTGAAAGATACACCGTCCCTGGGCTGCAGATACAGTAACAGCTGCATCAACAGCACAAGTGGTAGCTGCGTAGCTCACCAACTGCACGTCCCAAGTCCGAGACCACTCCAGCTGCCGCTTGTCAGAATCTCACGAGATCTCACGAGTATTGTGTGGGTGTCGTCATGCCTCCTCGCCTCTTGACAAGAAAGTCTTTTGAATACCCCAAAGCCCACAAAAAACAACAGGTTCTGCGGTTCTGCGTAAAGTGGCCTTGCAACAGAAGCATCTAGACCTCATAAGCCCCATGCCATCTGAATCAAACATGTTTCCCCAGAGAACAAAATATCTATACAGATGAAACAAGTGACTTCACAATTAGAGCATGCAAAGAACAAATGAATAATAATCTTCAGCATGATGGTGCGGTAACTCTTGATGTTGATTAACCTGTCCAACTGTCAAAGCAAACATGAAACATGAATCGTCTGGAAAAAGAAGATTTTGACAGCAAGTACAGCATACTTAGCCTACATCAAGAGTGAATCAAAAATCTAAGGAGGCTGACCCACCTCTTGACCCGCCCTCCTTCATGTGCTTCATTGGAGGGACCAGGCATAGCTGTGAATGTCATGAACCGGAGATTGCGCATCTTTGGCAGTCTCTGCATGTGGTGTCTCCGCGGACGCAATGGGGTGATAATGCACTTGCTGTAATGTTTGTTGCTTCAAGGTAGTTGCATGTATACAGTAGCTTCCTGTTTGGTGTAATCATAGCTCATGGGCAAAAGATCTGATTGATGCCGCTCTTCCGCCGCATGTTGAAGTCCTGTCAGGAACTCGAATGTGGCCGTGAGCTACCATCCATCTCACCGTGCCAAAAAGTGCACCGCTTTTGGGGGATCCCAGTCGGCAGCCGCTCCAAACTTGCTCCATTTCCAACTGATCATCGGCAAACATCAGGGAGATACCCCGAAAATGGCAATGTTTCATGTGTAATATATATATATATATTATAATATACATATTATTATATAATTATATTATAATATATTATAGGAATATATATATATATATACTGTATTGTATAATTAATATACGTACGTATATTATAATATATTATAGGATTCCCCAAAACATGGGACATCCAAATCCGAAATCCACCCAGCTGTCCTCACACACGGCTGGTTTTAAGTGCTCTCTTCACGTAGCTCGAGTCATTCCTTGCGCCGGAAATGGCTTCAATATCAGGCAGCCAATAAAAGAATCTGGAAGCACGTCTTGGTTAATCTTGTTTAGACATGTTCAAGCAGTACTTTGCAATTTTTTGATGATAGATGTCGATCCAACAGCTTTTTCAAGGGCAAAATTTTGTTCGAAGCTGTGCCAAACTATCCAGTGGGTTGGATCCAAATGGTCCAAAAACCATCCCTGGAACCAATCTGGGTTTGTCCAAATGTTGGGTACCTCCATGGTTACCCTCTGGTTATGACTAACATAGCTATGGAAAATCACCATTTTTTATGGGAAACTCCACTATAAATGGTCATTTTCAATAGCTATGTTAAATTACCAGAGGGTATTGGGTTTGTCTGAAAATGTAAATGTCCACCAAAAAAAAAACCTTTGGCGGATGATCATTTTCCCTTTCGCCAATAACCATTGGGGGGTCAACATGGTCAACTCATAATTTTCAGACAAACCCCAGCATGAAATCAAGTTGGTTGTACATCAAATATAGATTAATAATGATTAATATATCATAATAGATCTTCACATCTCTTGGTTCATCATGAATTCTCATCAGTTTCCCCATTCAAGTGGCCCAGTTATCATCCAACCCTCTGCGGCCCAGCATCAAGGCGCTACGGAACTGCTCGCGCCAGGCATCACGGCTGCCCAGGGGTCCAGGCGCTGCAAAGGCTGCATGCTCGTGGCCCGAAGGGGTGTGCAAGGTGTGAACCAACCTGACATCCAAACATCCACCGAAAAGATGTGACAAAAACTGAGATGGGGATGGGTCAAAACCCTGGTACCTAGTGAACCCCAAAATAGCTGGGATTTATGGATGTTCATCCCATTAAAATGGTATTAATAGGTATTGATCCATACCCAGATGGGATTTCATACGTAGTGAGAAAGGCTTGACTGGGCCATGAAGTACTTCGCAACTTTAGGTCGACGAGTCGACACCCTGCTTGAACCTCATAGTAGTCTTGAATTTCAAAAAAAAAACGCAAAGGACCGATTACATTTTGGCTGTTGTTTGCCAGCAAAACTAGAGGTCAACTGCGAGGCATTGGAGTAAAGTTGTTCCTTGACAACCATGTAGAAATATGTAGAACCTTTCAGTTGGAATCCGTTTTTTGCCAGTTCATAGCCCTATCCTAAGTCACACCCTGGACTCAGTCGCTTGGGCATCATGCACACCCTGTCAAGGAAACAACTTACGCGCGTGTCTTAAATGGGCCACATTGATCCACATTGAGGAATTCAAGTCTCGCTAAGTGTTGTACTTTTTTGGTGCAAGGGAAACCATGGGGGCGAGTGGGTTTTGGAGGCCTTACAGTAAAGGTTGGGATACCGGGATACCCAACAAAAATGTGAACATCTTTGAGAAGCACGATGAAACTCGTCTTGTCTGTTGTAAAGACCAAATCTTCACCAACTGAGGCTGAGACTTATCAACCTTCTGCTCCATCTCTTGCAAGTGCCCCTGCTGGACGGCCGCATGCCTGCGTGCTGTGCAGGTTGCTTGTTCATCAACCGACAATGAAGAGACGTCTGAAGCGCATTCAGCATCGCTGGTCTCACCCTGGCCAGCTATTTGCACTCGATTTCCGAGCAAGGCACTTGTTCACATCCGACCGGACAAGGTCGTAGAGCTTGTCCTGGCCAGACCATCATGCGATGACCCACCAAGATACCAGGTGTGTTGGGACTCGCCGGGGATGTGCAAACAGAAACCTTGCCACCATGTCAACATTTCATAACACCAAACTCTCATCAGCTCACAACTATGCATACAACGTGCACCATATCATTGCATCTCATCTCATCCCATCATATCATTGCATCTCATCATATCACATCACATCACATCACATCACATCATCAAGACATCATCAAGACATCTCCCCCCCGCATATCTCCTCCAAACAATCTTCCAGGTTGGTCACGCGGCGATCCATGGCCGTCAGAGCCGCTTCGCAACCCTTCAGCCCATCCAAAACCGTGAAGCTCGCAGCCTTCTCAGGTTCCTCCACCGCCTGGTATGCGGCGATCCTGGGCTGGCCCTTGGCTTCACGGCAATGCTCCTGGCATATCTCAGAGAAGTGTAGGATTTCTTGAACATCTGAAACCGGTCCTACATTGATCTTTTTCGTGCATTTTGAATCATTTTGATACATTTTTCAATCAGTTTCATGATGCATGTTTGATGCATTTGGAATGTGTCATGATGTGTCTACAGAATGAAAGATGCAGTTTCACAAGCCCCCAAACCATCCCAAACCATCTCCAAAGCTATGGGCTTTCCCTTTCTTTTTCCTCTTTTTCCAGACCTTCAAAAAACGTGTCGTTTTTTGGTTGCTTCCAGACCGTGCCACACTGTGCCGGGCACCTGGAAACGTTCGCTGAGTCGCTGCTGTTCGTTCTGGCGCCGCTTCTGCTCGTCCTGGACCGCGCCGCGGAGGTCTCGCAGCCCGGGCAGCGACAGGTCCAGGGTACTCTCCTCGCCCAGCGCGGCGCGACATCCAATGGGATTGAAGGAAATTCACTGGGAAATTCATAGGACCATAAGGGATAGATCTGGATAGAGGATAGATAAGGATAGGACACTATAATCTGATTATTGTATATTATTGTCCCAAAGTGTTGGCTATGCAAAGCGAGAAAACACTCTCACAGCTCCTGCAGTAGGCACCTGATCCCCTCCGTCCTGAAACATGGAGTCGCCTCTTCTGAGGCGTTCCAAATCTCCATTGAGGTCTCCCAAAGATCTCCGCGGCCGAGTCTAAAGGTCAGAGCTTATGGAAATTATGGAACATAGACTTGGAACTACCAATCAACTATCAACCTATTATCAACTCATCTACCAGTGACCGGTACCACGCCTGCCAGCCTCCATGGCCAGTAGCTGCAAACGTTGTTGAACCTCTGCCACCTGATGAACTGGGGATAGTGGTGTTGCCTTTTAGTATACCATTTAGTATACCATTGGATAAAGCTGTGACCCTACATTTCCAGATTCCAGCACTCATATTATTCATAGGCTGATCCATCTTTTTGAAAATAAACCATCAGAAAACACACGCTTCATAGATCAATTAGTGTTTGTTTCATGTTTAAATTGGGATCGGCCCTTGTGTTTAGCCCCACTGCTTGAATGACCCAACACACATAGAAACAGCAACCTAATGTATAAGCACTGAATATTGAAACAGGTGCATGTCTATGGTGGTGTTAGTGACTAAAGAGAGTCGATAAGGCGCCAATAGCGCTTCAAGGACCCACATGGAAAAAAAATGAAAAAATAGTCCCAGGTGGTCATGCTAAAGGCAAATTCAAATAATGTTGTCGACTGATTAGTGTGAGGCCCCCCCCCAAACAATTTTAGTCTACTCAATAACAGACTATTTTTTTGCGCCCCCCCACCTTCAACAATTTTTTTGAATTGATTTCAATTTACTTTCAATTGAAATCAATTTACTTTCAATTGATTTCAATTTACTTTTAATTAATTAATTAATTTCAATTTACTTTCAATTTACTTTCAATTGATTTCAATTTACTTTCAATTGATTTCAATTTACTTTCAATTGATTTCAATTTACTTTCAATTGATTTCAATTTACTTTCAATTGATTTCAATTTACTTTGAATTGATTTCAATTTAATTTACTTTCAATTGATTTCAATTTACTTGAATTGATTTCAATTTACTTTCAATTGATTTCAATTTAAATTGATTTCAATTTACTTTCAATTGATTTCAATTTATTTTGAATTGATTTCAATTTACTTTCAATTGATTTCAATTTACTTTCAATTGATTTCAATTTACTTTCAATTGATTTCAATTTATTTTGAATTGATTTCAATTGATTTCAATTTACTTTCAATTGATTTCAATTTACTTTCAATTGATTTCAATTTACTTTCAATTGATTTCAATTTACTTTCAATTTACTTTCAATTGATTTCAATTTACTTTCAATTGATTTCAATTGATTTCAATTTACTTTCAATTGATTTCAATTTACTTTCAATTGATTTCAATTGATTTCAATTTACTTTCAATTGATTTCAATTTACTTTCAATTGATTTCAATTTACTTTCAATTGATTTCAATTTACTTTCAATTTACTTTCAATTGATTGCAATTTACTTTCAATTTACTTTCAATTGATTTCAATTTACTTTCAAGGGTTTTTGTTTTTTTTCAACCCCAAAAGTTGCTTGGCACAATAGAGTACCATCCAAACATTCATATTATTGAGTAACTGAGCCACTCATGAGGTACCCCCTTGAAAAATTGTCTGGATGCTGTTTTTTAATAAGGGTTTAATAAGGCATCTAATTATTTGGAAAACCTTGCATTTTAAAGATTTAACACAAATATGGCTTTCTAAAGTAAATGGACCAGCTTTACTCAAAGAAAGGTGGAGAAGGTTTTTGATTTTTTTTTCAACCCCAAAAGTTGCTTGGCACAATAGAGTACCATCCAAACATTCATATTATTGAGTAACTGAGCCACTCATGAGGTACCCCCTTGAAAAATTGTCTGGATGCTGTTTTTTAATAAGGGTTTAATAAGGCATCTAATTATTTGGAAAACCTTGCATTTTAAAGATTTAACACAAATATGGCTTTCTAAAGTAAATGGACCAGCTTTACTCAAAGAAAGGTTGAGAAAGGGTTTTTATGTTTTTTCAACCCCAAAAGTTGCTTGGCACAATAGAGTACCATCCAAACATTCATATTATTGAGTAACTCAGCCACTCATGGGGTACCACCTTGAAAAATTGTTTGGATGCTGTTTTTTAATAAGGGTTTAATAAGGCATCTAATTATTTGGAAAACCTTGCATTTTAAAGCTTTAATACAAATATGGTTTCCTAAAGTAAATGGACCAGCTTTACTCAAAGAAAGGTTGAGAAAGGGTTTTTATTTTTTTTCAACCCCAAAAGTTGCTTGGCACAATAGAGTACCATCCAAACATTCATATTATTGAGTAACTCAGCCACTCATGGGGTACCACCTTGAAAAATTGTTTGGATGCTGTTTTTTAATAAGGGTTTAATAAGGCATCTAATTATTTGGAAAACCTTGCATTTTAAAGCTTTAATACAAATATGGTTTCCTAAAGTAAATGGACCAGCTTTACTCAAAGAAAGGTTGAGAAAGGGTTTTTATTTTTTTCAACCCCAAAAGTTGCTTGGCACAATAGAGTACCATCCAAACATTCATATTATTGAGTAACTCAGCCACTCATGGGGTACCACCTTGAAAAATTGTCTGGATGCTGTTTTTTAATAAGGGTTTAATAAGGCATCTAATTATTTGGAAAACCTTGCATTTTAAAGCTTTAATACAAATATGGTTTCCTAAAGTAAATGGACCAGCTTTACTCAAAGAAAGGTGGAGAAAGGGTTTTTATTTTTTTTCAACCCCAAAAGTTGCTTGGCACAATAGAGTACCATCCAAACATTCATATTATTGAGTAACTCAGCCACTCATGGGGTACCACCTTGAAAAATTGTCTGGATGCTGTTTTTTAATAAGGGTTTAATAAGGCATCTAATTATTTGGAAAACCTTGCATTTTAAAGCTTTAATTTAAAAAAATGAAAAAACAGAAAAACATTTTTTAAGTAACTAATTTAAAAATAAATTCAAAAAATAATTAATTAAAAAATTAGGAAAAAATAAAAAAAAATCTGGAAAAACATTTGCCACAATACAGGCCCCCCCCCACCAAACAGCAGGTTACTGAATAAGGAGGAAACTTTTTGCCACAATAGAGTACCATGCTACTAATCAGGTGCCAACATTACCGAAAGATTCAGCAAATGCGGCCATCAGCGCCGCAGGATCTGTCCATTGCCGTCGTCCCTTTCGAATCTGATCCCGAGCGGCTTTTCCCTCGAAGAGGCTGTTGTTGCTCTTGATCATTTGAAGGAGCTCTTCTCTCGTCTTTAAGGTGTCTTCCTGTTGAAGACACTTGCGAAAAGATGCCAAAAGGGAGCAATCATGACACAGAAGAAATCAACATGCATTGGATGTGATAGGCTTCAGAATCCTGCTGGACATGTTTGGTTTTCCACAGGCAAATTGTGCCTTGGATTCCCACAGCCCGTAGAGTTCCTATGCGCTACCAATCCAAAGCAAGCATAATCGAACTAGTGCCAGAGTATGACAGAGTCACAATGCAAAAACAATTTGCTCCGACCCTGATTTGTTTTTTCCTGAAATAGTTCTTCCAGCAAACACAGAGTTCTCTGGGCCATGCTGATTTGTTCTTCCCAGCAAACGCTGGATGTGTAAGACTGGCCCTAACCCACACTGCCAGTGTAACACCCCGCCATGTTCTGTGACCCACAGCCAGTGGGCCTTGGTTTGGTAGCGATGCCGATCCATACTCTTCATGAGATCACCAACGGCCACGTCTTGAGCTTCCAGTACTCTTCGGACAGCTTCCTCTTGTGCCTGTCGCGAGCCAACGACTTAGAGTAGATTCAAGTCTCAACATTGGGTAACACGCGGCCCAATACAACAAACCACTATTGATGATTAATAATCACTTCCCATCCATCTGCCACCTGCAGTTTCCACGCATCGAATTTCTTCACTAACTCATCCTTTTGCTCGGCCTGTTCTTTCAAGGCCTCCTATGTGTGCAGAGGCACTGTGAGAGGCGGATTGTAGGCATGTTCGAGAAACAACCGAAGACTTAGCATGCAAACGTACGCAAACGTATGCAAACATATCTTGTCCCAAATGATTGGTGCTTAGGTGTTTTTGACTTGTTTCTATATGCCGCTTTGGATTGCCACTAGCGTCACTAGCAATGTTTGGCCAAGATTCTAGAGTCTAGGTATGTCTACGTCGTCTACGTGTCTTGTGAGAGCAATATACAGGAATCCCTTCCCCCGAATATTGAACACCACCCAGAAACCATGGTTTTGTAGGGGATTTACAATGTTTTGGGACCATGTAGATGGGGTGTTTCATATTATATAGGGCGATGGGATTATCGAAATCTCACAAGGAATTCGGATAGATTTGACATCAAGTCATGGTTGGTGTCCTTTGAAGCCTCCACTGCATGGGCTGCTGCGGTGGCCGCCTGAGTCAGTATAATCAGCAAGACATTCAAACTGAGCATTTCTTCCAAATCCATTTTATCTAAAACATCCATAGTAGCTATCTAGTCATCTATAGTCTATAGTAGTATACATCAACATTATCAATAAATATCAATAATTATATAATTATATATATATAGACAATTATCAATAATTAATAATTATACATGTATATATATATATACAATTAATTATATATATATGTATATGTATATATTATATCATAAATCCGCGAGTCATGCTAATGCAATGTGCCAATGTGCCAATGTGCCAATTTTTCGGATCTGCCGAACCTCCTCAGCTGCTTGAGCAGCTTCCCGCGCAGCACCACTGGCAGCAGCTTTCTCCTGAAGCGAAGTGGAACAACACAGCAGTAACGGGAGCTGCACTGGATCAACCAGAATTGTTCTAGCATGTTTCATTACATGACGATTGCCCCCAAAAAAATCAAAAAATAGTTTAATTTAATTGTACTGACTTGTTGAGTGTATTGACATCTTTTCCTATTTTTTAAAAAGAATCCTTCCCTTATTCATGAGTTTCATCCTCACCTACGCCTTCTTGAGCCCGTGCCGTGGCCAGAACAGTCTGTGACTGGCTCCTGTGCCATCTCACGCTTTAGGCCCTCCATAGCATGTTCGAGATCCTGCAAAAAAGACATCTGAACTGCAAACCAATGATGATGCAAAGACACATCACCTGGGGTAGCAGGGGAATACACACCAACTCATGGCAAAAGAAGGAAACACCGACAGTTCACAAATTCGAAATTGATGGAATGGATATGGGTTTGTCTGAAGGTAGGGTACCCCAAATCTCATGGTTAATCACCATTTTCCTTCTTGCAATAGCATTTTTGGCATTTTTTTTGGGACGTATGATGTACCCCATTTTTAGACACACCCATATGAACGGTTGATCTCGTTGCGGCCAAGTACAGGAGCACCTTCCCCCAAAGCCTTGTGATCTGAGGCGACCAAACGGATCTGGCATCATCTCATTAAAAACACGCAGTATTGCTCTTTCATCCACAGGTTAATTATCAACTAATTAACATTAATAGGTGTTAATTCCAGCAAATTATCATAGTTAATTAAAAACATCCAGTATTGAACAGGCTATGTTGATGTAAATTCCAGCACTTTCAGATACTTTCAGACAAATCCGTCATGCCGCATCCTTCCCATCTGACAGGTCCTGCCGACTATGCTGAAGCACGGCAATGGTCCTGGTCTGCTTCTCTTCTCTCATTCGGCTCTCCTGCGCTATGAGAAAATCTGACAGCAAGACACACCGCATCCGCCATGTTCCAACTCACAAAACACACCATCACAAAACAAAGAAACAAACCAACCATCCCAAACCAGACCAGACCGAATCAACCGACCAACAAACAGACAACAGCAAACTCAAACCAAACCAAACCGAAGACAAGCAGAACAAAAAACAAAACACAACAAAACAAAGCAAACCAAACAAGAACCAAGCATCAAGCAATGTAAACATCTCTGACGCATACTTAAACATGCATAAACATCATCTTACACACTACACTGATCATCACTGATCATCACTGATCATCACAGGGCACAGCTATCTCTGTCACACCCTTGAGACCAAAGCGCCTCAATTCGGCTCTGCAGTTCTGCCTTGAATCGTGTCTGCGTCTGCCTTGGGCAGCAACGACCCGAGGACAATCCGCAGAATGACTCCATAGTTCTACCATGTTCTACACAGCATACACTGGAGTCGTAAATCTGGAACTTACACTTGGTGGGGAACTGAAACTGGCACACCAGCACCCTTTGCCCAGTTCCTGACCTCTCGCGCCCAACAGATTCTGGATATCTTGTGAGGCTGAGCCACTCCAGGGCTTGCTGAAACTCCGTGACATCATTTTGCAAATACTCCTGCAAGTCAAAACACTGGCTGAATGACTGCAAAGCCAGTCGCCGTCACCCGAGTCTAGTGCTGGAACCCATGGGGAACCCATGGTTCAAAGCTGCAACATTCTTCCCCACTCTCCAAGAGCCCTAGCATATCTAACATGTCCATCTCATTCAGAATCCAAGGTACATAAGAATCATAAGAATCAACCCAGCTGAACACAACATGCGACTCGCCTGAGCTTTCGTTGTCTGTTGCGATTCGCGCTCAACTGTCTCCTAGGTGGTGCGTATGGGTCATGCCTAAAAACACCAACGTGGTGCTTCTGGGTGCCCAATCTTGCCAAGCCCTGCCGAACTCTGGAAATACACAATTACACAATGCAAGCCAGAATAGATCCAGTTCCAGCAAAACTTTCTTAATTGATGATCTGAACATCATTTGGACATATTTGGACTATCTATTTGCAACAGTGACTACATTGATCATTACGCTCTACGCGGGTCAGAGCTCGGCTGGATAACCCACTTCATGTCATTGGGATCTGCTTTGGGCCTGTAGCTTGACAATCTAAGGCTCTGTGTTGCGCAGTCTGGGTACTCAGCCGACTAAGTAGGTGATAGTTTGAGGTTTGGAAACTAGTGGCAACCGGCAACACTTGGAGAGGTTTTCAGTGTAGCTGCCAATTTGAGGCCTGTAGACTGTGATGACTCCGGGCTTTCGCACTCAGAACTGTGGCCAACGCATGATATGGAGACATGATGTTTCCATAGCCTCTTTTGTTCTATGGCAATCTGCTCAACAATAGTGGGCGGCGTGTCTACGGTAGTATCATTCTCTCAAGCAAACATGGGAGAGATCACCAACCCACAACTGAATGCAGCCACCAGATCCGTTCGAGCCCGCAATTGACCGATCTCTTCTTTGGAGCTACTGCTCTCTTTCTTCCTGCAGGTGAAGGTGACGACAAACTGAGTGAACATCTATAGCGCTGTAAACCACCAATAAAGTTCGAAGAAGGGAATGCCTGAAACATCACACAAAGGCAAAATTCTGGCCACAAACATTGAACATGTCTTACACCAATCATCCATCTCAACCTAAAGCATGTAAAAGCAGTAGACAGAAAAAAGGCAATATCTTTGAAACCAAGTCTCAGCTCAGCCAGTGTCAGAAGCTGCTCTGCCAGTTGATGGGCTAGGGCGCGCTGCTCTCCCAGAAGGGTCTCACAGGTGGGATAGAACTTGGAATGAACTGGGAATGGGGGAGATGAACAACCGATGTTGATTAGGATTCACATAAGCCAAGGAACAATTAGATTATTGAGGTAGGTACAAGTCATTTTCAGCAAATTGCCTGGCACCCTTGGATCTGATTTAGCACACGAAGATATCCCACATGTCCTCAGAAGAAAGAAAATTCTAAGGCGTGATTCCGGCTCTGGATCATGGATATCATGGGTCCGAAAATGGCATAACTGGTGTCACGTGGATAGGCCGTGAATAACAAGCGATGAAAAACATCGAGCCTCAAACTATGATTCGATGCTAGAAGCACTGTTGGATATTTCTGTGAAGCCTCATGGGAAACATTTCGGATCTATATGGATCTATGAAAAGAACATTTGGGTACCCCTCCAAAGTTGGATGGCCAACAGAAATGGTAATAAACTATGGTAAACTGCTAAATGACATCTGTGTCCAAAAATTACTCGCCAAAATCCAACATCCCACACATCTGCGGTTGGGGGTGGCCTCGCTGTTGGATTCTAGGACCTTCTGATGAGCTTCGAGGCTTGTGGCTCTGGACTCCACGCCTTAGGCCACCCAGCACTGAAACAAGATGCGCACAACGTTTTGGAATCCCTGTATCCCACCAGTACTGAGAGCAGCTAAGGCAAGTGGTTCATCAACTTTTTTTTCAGGGCCGAATTCTTATCCCCATGATATCAGTATATATCAGTTATGAGTTCATATCAGCTGCATATGGTTGACACACACAGCCTTCATGACGATCATCCCGTTTCCAAGTGGCTGCTGCTCTTGTGGGTCAGCTCTGCCAAAATCGGTTGCAGTTCGGACAGCGGCTCCAGGCTGCAGATGCGGGTGTCGAAGGCCTGGACAAGTCACTGGTGCCAAGTGGTAACGCTCCCTGGCTGTCTCACCAATCTAGCAACTATAGTCACTATATATGTCTTGCTTGAACAAATGACAGTTCGATTACTCCAGTTTTCTGAGCTCTGATACCAGTCTGGATTTGAGTAACAGGAGATGAAGTGGAAAATCCAGCATCAAATGAACTCATCTGATGATATTTCTGGATTTATTCCTTAAAAAATAAAAAACACTCCCCTGTGTCTGACAATCCCCGGGAGCCCCTTCAAACAGGGCAGCCATGGCACCGTCAGGCGATACTCAAAGTTGGCCAAGCGAGAGATGGAGGATTCCACATGATCATTGGCCTTCTTGCAGGTGGCCTGCCATGAAACACAGATGCTGACAGCTGACGGAAAGGCCATGGGCCATGGGTTGGTTCTGTTGTTTTTTGCAGGAAACCATGCTTTTTACCTCCAAATAAATATAGTAATGAGCAGTACTATTCCTTCAGATTTTCCGTTCAACCAATTCTGGGGTGATGATCGTGCAGCTCTTGGAAATCTATGACATCTATGAATAGAAAATCTGACAGAGTTGAACTTCAACCAACAATATACCAACAATTTTGCAACAAAGATGTGCAAGTCCATTGGTACACCTGCAGATTTGTATCAGCATGTATTGACTTCAACAGTGCCTGTCGCGCAGCTGTGGTCCGCTTTCGGAAGCTGACAAACAAACCGTGCAACCCATTGCTGTCCCCCTGGTTCCGGATGTCCTTTTTGCATCTTTCTGGATCCCTTTTAAGGCGCGGAAATTTGGGACGGAGATTCCCACTCGTTTCAATACCATACCCCAGGGCTCCTCCAATTTCATCACGCTTTGCTGGGTGTCGCCCCGGTGGATTTCCAAGGTCTCGGATACGGCGCTGAAACGTTGAAGCCGCTCATCGCACTTCTCCATCCAAGTCTGAATCCTGTAGGGCGCAGCTGCAAAATGTTGACTTCAGACGACAGCCAAAGTCTTGGAATCTCTGGGAATGGCTGGATCAATCGGGGACGTTGAATCTTCCAGAAAAGAGTTAAACGAAAACAATGTCACAATATGTCACAGTTGCACCCACGACTTTTGATCAGCTCGTGGAAAGTGCAAACGTGCTAGCACACTGCTCAAATAATGTCTCACTTCACATAAAATCACACGAAGATCCAAACCGATGTAATAATAAATTTCTCAAGACAGGATGGCAGGAAGCATCAGCTTCCTCTTTGACAACTAGAAACAGCAACTTTTTTTGAAGTATTTTTGGCCACTGATGAACCGCCACCAAGTCCTTTCGACAGCAGGTTCTGACTTCTCGCAGCTGTTGCTCAGCTTAACGACTTCGGACTGGCATGTGCTGAGTCGAGGAACAGCTCGTTGACAGAAGGGTGTTCAATGAAAATGGGGAGGGCCCCATTGCCCCACCACAAAATCATAAAACCATATAAAACCTGTGGTGATGATCGGGCCCTTCACCCTGCCTCAAGACGAGTGAAGCGTGATTGGAAAGCTTCCGTTGTGGATTTCACGTCAGAGGACAACACTGCCACAGTCTTCAAATTTTCTTGGAGCCTCGCGAGACTGGGGAGAGCACTGCTAGGAGATTTCAGGAACCGTTGGCCCAGGCGAACATGTAAACTTGTAGAGCGCAATCTCAGTGAAATTGGTGTAGCTTTCAAATCTTATGTTACTCATCGCTGGGCTTTCTGTCTGAAACAGCTGGAACGTCCAGTGGTATTCAAACGAATTGCCATCCATTCATATTGAGAAGAAAACCAAGATTCAAAATGATATATGTACTAGTGTACAGTAGTACCTACATGTACATACATCAGGCGTACATTCCATCCGAAACACAAACCACCATCTTCTGAGCGACCCCCTATATGTTATATTATATGTATAATATATGTATAATATGAATATTGTTATAGCGTAAATATACACATATTATATATATATTATGATTATATATGAATGACCTCTAAAGGGAGAGACAATATGAGACAATATGATGCATACAATGATCTATTCATCCTACCGATGCTCACCTCACAACCTGAGAACCGCGGACCGCGGATGGCGCCTGGGCACCTGCGATTCAATGGTGGCCACACGTGGCCTGGCGCCATGGGTCAATAGCTGCCGAAATGCTGTGAAACTTAGAAACCACCAATTAAATGCTGTTTGCTAACTATACTTAGCAATTTCCATATAAAGCCCGGAGAATGAGATATAGATGAAACATGGTGAATCGAGAACGAAGCATTGGGACAGGTTCCAGCTCCTTCTTGCATCACTTGCATGAGAGAGTAGCAGCCTCCCAAAAGTCTCATAGCCCCAGCAATTCATGTCTTAAGATTCCAAGTTTGTTATTCTAAATCAGAGAGCTACCCATCAAAAATGCACAAAATAGACCTTCACTTTTCATATTTTTTTTCTCCAGGACCTCATCCAACAGGTCTTGGCTCCCCAACTCCAATTGCAGGATGGTGGAATCTACTCCTCGCAGCCTCACATTTCTGGAGATGTGGAGCTCATGCAGTGGAAGAAAGGCGGCAAGTGCTGCAAAGGTGTAAAGGTCCGAAGGAAATGTAAACACTGTTATTAAATGATTATTAAATGACTATTAAATGTTATTGACATTTGAAATAGTGGCAACAGAGTAGACAAACTTAGACAAAGCCTTGTGGATCTACATCATTGGGTATGATTCCAAAAGTGATGATCCTTGCAAACAATCTGAAAGGATTCCGTCCGTGGAAATGGGCCTTTAACATCTCGAGCACCCAAACGTATAGCCAGATATCTGCAAGGCACACGGGTTGCCAGGGCCACATTTTAGCGCTTTCCGTTCTCCACACCTCTAGCTATCAATGGTTTCCCAGTGAGTGCCTTGAACCAAGATCTTGCATCAAATCTTTCACCGTCTCCTCTGCCGCGGCATGGTCAGGGTGGCAAGGGAGTCTTCGTAGATGACAGTAGTCTGTGTTGACCGTTCTCTGCTAATCATGTCGAGTCTTTCTCCCTGTGAGGGTTTTGCACCCTGCAGACTGGGAGTCAGGTGACATAGACACAACATCACTCGAGCATCGGCCAAACAGCCCAGCCTCCAGGCTGGTGATCCGCGGATCCAGCTTCGCGATCGAGGTCTCCATGCGCTGGCTCTTCTGCCTCATTCTGCTGAAGATCAGGGGTTCCACTGGCCTTTATCATCCTTTATCTATTATTTACTGATGCAAGCAGAGTAGAAGCAAAGAGGCGATGTCTAGCGGTAAGAACAGATTCAGGAATCCTTTCAGGAATGACATGCATGACTGACTTTGGGCTCCTTGGACCTTTTTGGGCCTCAGCTCCCTCCAAAGAAATCGGCATCGAAGAAATCGGCATCGAAAGCCCAGGTGCGCAATGCTGTCCACCGCATTGCTTTCGACCTGAGACCGTCCCATAATGGCCCACCCCCAGCAAAACTGTGGGAGTTTGAGAGAAATTTAACTGAGAGTTGTTCAAAAAATATCGAACAATCATCTTCCAAATGCTTCCAGTATCAGGGCCCCTGAAGGCAAAGTGAGGAATTCATGGGACATCATGGGACTAATTACGGAGATTGAAGTCTGCCGCCCGCCTCTCCAATGCTCTTCGCTTGTTTGTCGAGCTCAGCTTGTGCGTTACCACAAGTGCGCATCAGCCTTTGAAGGAAACGGCAAGGACAACTTTATCCGAAGATACAGTGGCATAGTCCACAAGCATCAGTCTTGAATCCATGACCAACAATCCAACAGTCGCGGCAAAGTAGCAAGTGCAAACGAAAAGGGTGCCTGAATTAACATCAATAGTAACAAGATGCAACAAGTACTACTGGTACAGTATGTACTACTGGTACAGTATAATCCGACCAGCAAGCTCACACATCCAGAATTCTATGGCTCCATACTGGTCGTGAAGTTCCTGTACCCTCTTCAACTCCTGGCCGAAAGCCCAGCCCTCTCAGAGGCAAGCACACCTTCTGTGGATCATGTCTTGAAATGCTCCCTTTCACACCATTATCAGGCCTTCTGTGCATCACTTTGATGTTGCTCCAAACGTCGCTGCTTATCCTTGGACACAAAGGAATGTTTCTCAAAGAAGATTTTGTTTTTTGATTTTTGAACCAAGATGTGGGTTAACAGCAAGTTCCGGGCCACCAAATTTCTGACAAACACATGATATGTCAATGCACACCACAATAAAAAGCGGATAGGGGCATAACTCGGGCAACCAATCACCCATATTATCAAAACATCACACTCTAAAGCTCCCAGCAAGTGACAAGGGGAATTGGTTTGCTCGTTCACCCTTACTCATCGTGATCATCATCGCAGGTAGGATTGACCGGATCATTATGATGATTAATTATGTTGTTTTCGACATATTTTGAAATAAGTCACACGAATCACTAAAACCGTCCTGAAACGGCCTACTGGATATCAAAGAATGCAACCAGTACTTCCAATCCCAGTTTCCACGATCTGCTGCAAGTCCTTCCTCACCTGCAGAGTTAGCACCGGTTTCGGTCGCAGAATCGTTTCTAACTGCTTCAGCACCAGCCAACAAACCGGATTAATGTAGGTAGCCTCGGTTCCGCCTCACTTACGCAGTACGGCTTTACAGCATCTTACAGCATCCAAAACAGCCCAGCCTCACGCCCCTGCTGACCCAAGGAAGCATCTTGCTTTCCCAGCTGCTCTGTGAGTTCCTGAAAAAGCACTGAAAACTGGCTCAGGGATGGTACATTGTTTTTGAACAAAACTAAGGGTTAGTCACCAAATACAAGTACCTATACTTATTAACTTGTGGATCCAATAGTTTTGAGATTTACAGTACTTTGGCATCTCATTCCAGATACCTTCCATGTGGAGAGCTTGATGTCATTCTGAATCATCGCGGCTCATTTTTTCTTCACTCCATCTGATTCCAGCAGCAGTGAACTCTGTAGCTAGACCGGCTTGTCAAAAAATGGGATACCCTCCAAATCCAGTGGTTCACCTCATTTTATTGTGGGCAAACAATGGTAAACATCCAAATCTTCGGGCAACCATGGGCAACCCATATCCATCATATCCGTCATATCCATCATATCCATCATATCCGTCATATCCATCATATCCCACTCCCATTCTGTGTCGTGCTCCAAAATTTCTTGGGTAAATATGGACCAACCCCTGCAGCCCAGCCCAGCCTCCAGATGCCGCTCGTTCAGCTGCAAGCGACGCTCAAAGTCCTCCCGGCGCTTCTCACTGCCGACCTGGCGGGGTCCAATCAATCTGGTCACTGGGCAAGGGTGATGCTATGTTGACACCATGTCCCAAAAATGATGTCTTATATACTGTATATATATATATATCAATTATAGACTAACATTTTTAGGAACTGTTTAGACCACAGTTGAATTTGATTTCTCCGCTACAAAACAAAAACACACACACACAAGTGTCTGCTGAATTTTCCAGATCGGACCAATGTATACCAATGTGTCAAAGCAATAGCAGCTTCAAACAGTTCAGACATGTTCCAGTATTTTATGTCCAGGCATCGCAAATCCATATAAATCCACTGGCTGATCAACCAGAATCATCGGTGTCTCCATTGATGCATTGTTTTTTTTTGGAATCTGGAATCAGGGACAGAAAACCGAAACAAGCCCTGCAAAAAAACATGATTACAATGTGTTCTTCTTGGATATACAAAACACAAAGGATGTGATTACAATATTGATGTTGGATGAAGCATTCTGACATTCTGGCTGGATAGATCCCGAGTGAAAACTCCCATGGCTCAAAAAAGGATGTTATTGTAATATGCTTCGCACTATTTCAATTTCAATTAACCGTGTTTTTGAATCCATTTGCACATCGTGGGTCACTTCTACAACTATAGGTAATTGGTTCGAATCACGGCGCATTCCAAGAGCTTTTTAAACAATACCCGCTCTGTTCAGCCTGCAGCAAAGTACTCCTTGGCTGTGGTGAAGGCTCATCCATGCCGCTCAATTCAATCAAAACACAGCACACCCAGGAACAACAAACAGTGAACCATAGTGAACCTCTGCTTCAAGAATGAACAATGCTTAATTTCGGCTTCGCATGGCTTAGTCAATGCTCTTTAACCCCATTTGGCCACAGACCATGCTGTGAGCTCTTGCACCAAGGCTCTTGTTGCTGTCCTCCAAATGTTCCATTCGCTTGGAGACTTCCTCCATTCGTTTGCCCTGAAGCTCCAGGCGTTCCAAGCATCGAACTTCCAGCATGTCCTGTGGCAAGCGTGGATCGGACCCAGATGGCGCGGATGTTGGAACCCCCATCTGGAAGATGTGATTAGTATCTGAGAATAGTTAGAAATAGTGCTATATATATAATATATATATATAAATAATATATATATATATACATATTATATAATAACTAATCATAGCTGATCATAGTAAAATCCATGTGCTTCAGTGAACTTCAGTGGCTTCCAAAAAACCCTTCATCAATCTTTTCTGGGTCTCACAAGGCATAAAATCAGCTGCATCCTCCGAGGCTCCTTTTGAGTCTCCAGTTCGGACTTCAGCTCCATCTGCTGACGTTGCAGTTGCTGCGAGGCATCCGTGCTCTTCACCAGCCTTCCGAAGGCTGGATGATCTGGATGTCTTGCACCAACAACTGAAGTGCCTAGTCTGCCTACTTGGGAATTTTCCACATGGTAAGCTCCAAAGCCACAACAAGCTATGATTTTTGATGGATTTGGGTCCTTCAAAGAACCTGGAAGCAAATCAACATCACTTGCAAATGGCTATTTGTAGCCATGACTAAATATCGGTGAAATCCGGTCATAAACCCAGTTCGAACTGAAAGGAATCCATCATCGTAAAATATTCATCTATCCATTCATTGATGATCTATCTTTCTATCTTCCTATCTTTCGATCTGTCTAGAGTCTATCTATCTATCCATCCATCCCTCTACATTATACACGTGTATCATATTAAATACATGGAATCAATCATTGCTGCCATCATCGAGGTTGGAAATGTTCGGCCACCCCAAGGACAGCCTGGCATCATGTTCCTGCAGCATCTTCAGCATAGGGCCAGCCTCCTGAACAGTAATAATTAACAGTGGCAAGGATGGTATTCACATACAAACACTGTTAATAACAAGAACGACAAGAACATATCTATATAGTGTATATTATATACATATATGTATTTGTATTGTATGTATAATAAATACAAAATACATTTATGTGATATATTATAGATATATATCACTTTAATTCATGATATTACGTATCTATTCCAAGGCTGTGCAAGAACAGAGTGGTCTTCTGTCCTTCATGACTTCCTCCAGCTGTCGCTGCCTGGAATCTTGTTCCTGACACATCCGCCTCTGCTCCTGCCCAATCAGAACCATTGAAATCCCCGAAACTAAATGGAGGTTTATAGCTGGGAAACATTAGGAAACCAATGGTTTATAGCTGGGAAACATTAGGAAACCAATGGTTTATAGCTGGGAAACATTAGGAAACCAATGGTTTATAGCTGGGAAACATTAGGAAACCAATGGTTTATAGCTGGGAAACATTAGGAAACCAATGGTTTATAGCTGGGAAACATTAGGAAACCAATGGTTTATAGCTGGGAAACATTAGGAAACCAATGGTTTATAGCTGGGAAACATTAGGAAACCAATGGTTTATAGCTGGGAAACATTAGGAAACCAATGGTTTATAGCTGGGAAACATTAGGAAACCAATGGTTTATAGCTGGGAAACATTAGGAAACCATCAACCATCTATAAATTGTTGCTCAGTGCCATGTTTGAAACCTGGAGGGTATGCATCAAAATTGCCGTCTACTATGTCTGATGGTTCTTGCATGTTGTTGCATGTTCATCATATCGCAGCTTTCTATCTGTACACATCGAATCGCCTGATGCTATCTATTCAATTCTACTCAAACCTTGCTAAGAATCATAACTGGTTGCCATGAGCAACCAAGCCATAATCACACTTGCTTCATGCCAAAGAATATGTCTTTTGGTTGCCATGGAGATCCATGCAAACATATCCCAAATCCATGGTGAACATTGGTGAAAAAGGCTGGCAAACTCTGCACATGGCTGGCCTCCATTTTCAATGACAGCTCCGTGAGGTTCATCCCCTGAGGAGACCTCGGCAATGCAGGGCAGCTGATACTGCTGACATGTCTACGGAATCTCAGGGACTGAGATAAGAAGGTTGTACTTCTCAGAAAACTGCAGTCAACCTGAAACTGCAACCCATTGTTTTCCCACCGCAACCAGCTGCAGTGACACTTAAGCACCTCAAGCGCCTCTGGGCGCCAATTCCATCTGTCTGCAAATTCAGTCCTGGCTGCCTTGGCTCTCTCTCTGTTCCATTTCCATGCAAAGAGGACTTGCATTCAATAGCTGGCTCAGTCGTTCCTGCAATTCACCCTCCTTCTCCTCGACCTGTCAACGTTACAACGTTCGATCTGAGGCAGATGTTGGTTCAATTGTGGAAAGCGCCGCACCAGGCAGAGAGGATATGCCAGAAACATCAAGAAACACGAACCTGAAAGCATTTATAGAGTTCAAATGTGGTAGATTGTGGTAGGTTTCTAAAAATGAACATTGAGCAAAGCAGTCCACGCACTGAAAACATCTAAAAAGCCTCCCAAGGCTTGGATGCTGTGGTGCTCCAATTACCTCTGTAGGTGCTCTTGGATGGCTGGCCTTCAGCCACTGCAAGTAGAAGACAGTGAAGCTTGCCATCTCCACCACAATCGAATCGAAGCCCTGACCTGGCGTGAAATCTTTGCTCCGAATAGGACCCTCCGCCTTTTGGCTCTGCAAGACCCATCCAATGACCCACCAATGAACCAAGGAACAGAGAGCAGCTGCAGAATGAAGCGAACCACCTCCTCCGCCCTTTACGGCTTTCCAAGCCTTCTGCAATTCCTGAAGTCCCAGCACTTGCAATTGAAACGATACAAGAACATCCAATGACTCGACTTAAGTTTTTAATCCATTAGCCTGTCGAGATATAAGGACACCACAATCCTGGAGAGTTTCCCTTTGTATGACGAATACAAACAGTTTGAAGGGTTCTGATTTTGACTCCATGTTTATGCAAGCGAGAGACGCTTCGAGCATCTTCCAAGACATCACACAAACGTTCCAGGGGTTGGCAGCCTAAGCAAATCTTGCAACTGCTCAGAACTGAGCAACAGTTCAAGTATGATAGTATGATCAAGTATGACCTTGACGCTCAAAGCAATCACAGCACTTTATGATACTTTATTCATCTTCCGGCATCTTGTCACCAACCATTCGTCACCGCTGCTCGCAACCCTTTGATTTTGATGAAAAACCAATTTGACCAAAGCAAATCTTGCTGGCCAGCAACGATCCCCTCCTGGAGATCCCACGATTTTCAAGCAGTCCAAGACGAACTTCAAGGATTCAAGTGCCGTGGCCAAAGAGCCTCTTACCTTCCTCATGCACCACAAGACATCACAACAGGACTCCCCTTCAAACATCGAGCTGCTAGAAATCAATCGCTTCCTGTATAGATACTTGTATGCACTTGTGATCATTGAAATTTGGAGATCACCAGACTTGGCTTGGCACTTCGCAATTTCTCTAGACTGAAGTTCACTGAAGGCCGCATTTCGACCATACCTTGTATTACATGACCATTTCATGAGACAACTAAACAAAGCCACCTAGCATCACCTAGCCATGGTCCACCACGTGCTTTTAAGTGGCTGAAAGCTAACTCCGATAGAGCGACGCCAATCTTCATCGTTCAGAGGTGTAATGTGTGCTAAAGCACAGGCTTGAAGGAAGAGACCATGAATCTGTTGAGGAAGAAGGTCGTAGTTCACCATTTGCATTTCCTGAATCAAGTATAGGACCCCAGAACCGATTAGAAATACGTATTTGTCAAACATGATATTGCCAGGTTGGCACCCTTCCTTTATCCGAATTGCGGTGGTCAAAGGACATTTCATAAACAGTTTGTACCATCTTATTTCCCTTTATACCAGTAATCATAGATCACAACAATCCCTCTGAAGTCCAAGCTGCAGAAGCCTTTACAAACCAGTTTTGCACAAGGATGCACTTCGTAATAAAGGACAGATCTGCGATATCCGACAAACAGCTTCGACAGCGGCCAGCCAAGATGGCTTCCTCATCTTCCAAGGCTCCCAATCTTGCCTGATTTCAAGCCATGAAAGAGTGCAAAGTGTCTTTTTCGGCCCCTAATGTCAGGTATCCATTTTCAATCATTGATAACTATGATAACTGTTGAACACTACCCCTAGGGGCAACCTAGTGACAACAACATCACTGGAAGCTTGACCAACGGGACGAGTGAGAAGGTCAATCAGGCTTCCGGAAAGAGTTCTTGATCCTGAGTTCGTGCGCAGCTGCAGTAGCCCCCCAATCAATCGTGCTCAAAATGATGCCAACCGATGGGTATTGGCCGTGCCTTCCTTGGAATCCTGGTTTTCACACCGAAATTGATCTGATTTGATCTGTTTATATCTGTTTAGTCATTGGCATTGGAAAATCATGTCCTTCCATTCTTCTTCAGTTATAGAAGTTCTACGTGATGGCTGCTCCTTACCCCCATCAATCATCATCAACCCACGGTCGCCATCCCAAGACATCCAAGGCGCTCCCCGCTCGGCGAAACTGCTGGGCTCGACTGCTACTTGTTGAAGCCAACGCGACCGCCTGCTGCTTGTAGAAGACCAAATCCTCAGATTCCCAATGATTCCCAGGTGTCATTGGGTCCTAGGGGGATTTATCACTGTCTTATGACCCGTTGAATCATGGGGAAAACAAGGTTTCTAATCCTTTGGATTTCTAGGCATAGCCCATCTTTAGACAGACCTTCTGGGGCTGTAAAACCCACCAGCAAGGGGAAAAAACAACGAACGGATCCAGAGATGACCAGGAAGGAAACCCAACCATCTTCAGCAGGATGGTATGCAACCAACATGCATCAACTGTCATCCTATCACAAATCACATATTATATTTACAATTATATATATATGTGATCTATATATATATGATTATATATGTATACTATATAGTATGCATGTTATACAAACCATCCAAAAACTGCTTGCCTTCAAAGCGTCAATGGCGGTGCGAGTGCGATCCAAGATATCCTTGGAGGATTTGACCTGTTTCAGCGTCGTCACAGGGTGAACCAACTGAAACTTGGAAACCCAGCAGCGATACTCAAACAATGCGATATGGCTGGATATGGCTAGATTAGAGGTACAAGGTGTGTTGGATACCTGGTAACTGAGAGGATGTCATGTGTTTGAGGGGACTCGTCCTGGGGAAAGTAGCAGGATCTGGCAAGATTTCTTCAAACAGAGAGTCACCAACGACGCCGAATTTCAGGTGGAAACTTGGGCTGATCTCACAGAACGCGACCGAGGCGCCAAATGTACCAAGGACAACGAGCTGGTAGCGTCTCCAAGAAGCAGCTCAAAAAATAGCGAGGAAAGCAAAGAAATGATCCTCACAGGGCTATGGATCAATTTTAGCTAATTAATGCTGCTTCAATTATCATCTTTGTTGGATCAACCCGCATGTTTGTTATTAGAATCTGAAACAACCCAACCCCTGAAAATGAGAAGCTTCGTAGATTGTTTAAAGTTTATATTGATATCAAATTTAAATTGCAAAACTGTATGGGTCTGCTCGTGCCCCAAGTTTGACCCATGCCCACAAGATATTATATGCCATATACCCTTTTGAAATCTGCGCGAGCTGAGATCATGCTTGGACCTAGTTAAATGTCTCTCTCCCTCTCTGTGACAGCAGTGGATTTGCTGTTGGGCTCTAATTAGCTGGGTCTTTTTGCAAAACATACACCCAAAAAACTAGACCTCCCTCAGCCTCCATGTCCTCCTCATTCCGATGGTTTAACAGAATCGCAGCACGGTGGGTCTGGAAGCATTCCATCTCCATCCCACTGCTACATTCATGCTTCAGTGAGTACCCAATGTCAATCAGGTGCGCTGAGTCACCTCTTTGGAATCCCCAAAGTAAGCAGGTAGATCCCTATTCAATTCTATTCCCAGTATTGAAATCTGTTGAATACTACTGATGGATTTATACACCATCCTTGAGGTCTCCATACTGGTACCAGCGTTGTTGATCTTACATGCAGCTTCCCCATAGCCCCACAAAGCGCTTTTCCCGAGGGGCTCGCCCAGCAGAACTGAAGCAATCTGACTGTGAATCAAGGCCTTGGTGATTCACCCGAAAGGGATCGATTTGCTGCGACTCGAAAGTTTTTCCCTGAAGCTGACGCTCGAAAACTCATCATTCTGACACATTCGACATTAATCTTTGAGAAAATCAACACATGGCACAAAATCTATGCATGGTTATGCACCAGGTTGTATGCAACAATACCGACAATACCCTACGAGTACCGACCCGTCTCCTCCGGCCACCATTGCGGCGCAGGCTCCCATCCAGACAACATGAAGCCAAACATCACAGCTGCACAGGAGATGCACATAGCGGAGAACATCAAGGCGAGACTGCTGCGAAGAACTTGGCAAACACCGAACAGGGTGAAGACCGTGAAGCAAAAGCAACAAATCTGAAGGGGGTCCTGTTGAAAACCAAGCAGCCTGTGACTGTGGCAGCAGCTGCCCCAGTTCAAGACGATTCTGGTCAGTTCGATTTGCCAAATTGTGAAGCACGGAAGGTATCACTAGTAGGTCGATTTTCCAGTAGTTTTCACCCTATCACCCTCCTGACTGGTTACCAAAGAGTCTTCCTCCCTTCAAACTACTGACCCTGCCACCTCTCACAATGACATCCACAAAATATATTGGCATACATGAAATTTTCTCCAACCTTGACAAGACCCCCCTACTGGTCCATGATTTTGATTGTGTCTGCCATGGTCCTTCCCCACAACTTCCAGCATCAGCGCCATCACCACCGCCAGCATCGACCCGAAGAAGGTCCCTGCCAGGCGTTGGAGGAATTTCAGCAGCAAGCGCTCCAGGGTGATTCCTGAGTTCCCAGCTGCCACAGCTGGGGATGTCTGCTGAATTGTCCAAGAAAATTGCGGAACACCCACCACTGTGGCCACTATCACAGAAAACTTATTACAGATGATTCTCCCATGTTCTACATGTTGACACCTCCAGTTTTTTGGAGATTTCCCATTGCCATGTTTGATTACCGAAGGGTATTGATGTTCTGATGATGAAGGTTTATGATGGGCTATAGTCTGTTCAATGGAGCCTGGTCCAAGGGTGTTTTTGGGGTAGATCTTGGATCTGAGCAAAGGCATTTGATATCACTACGTGAATTGAGTCAATGGCACATCAGCTATGAGCCAACAAGGCTCTGCCTGCCTGACTTGCAAGTGCCCACACGTAAGTACGAGATTCTTTGTGCACGGGATTTGTCTCACGTGATAGACCTGCACATTTTTTACGATCTTCAACTTTAGTTCTCTGATATCAGAACTATAATTAGTACCTGAGGCTTTACTAGCGTGTATGATACTCCATATCCAAGCACCATCAGCTACCCATTCCTACTCGAGTCACTAGAGTTTGTCAAGAAATGGGTTTCCCCGTGGTTCCACCCACCCCAAAAAGCATGGTTTCGCCTCCTCTTTCCCACTAACAGATACTAACAGTGCAATTTCCTTTAAAACCTCAATTTGGAGAAACCCACTAATACCATCTAATACCTTCAAGCCAAAGCTCCTGGCTCCATCAGAAGCACCACTGTAACAATGGCTGTACTTGCTTGGAATCTGTTCCACGGCGGCTCCATGAACTGACCCACGGCACGCAAAAACAAACAAATGGACACCGCAGTTCCAAATGGAAGCGTTTTCTTCAGCAGAGACCTGCCCCCAAAGAGCGCAAGTCCACTGATCACCATGACGGGCATCAGGAGGATGAGTTCCCACGTGTGGAACCATGTTGAAATCACCGGAATCTCATGGATGCTATCCGGAACTGTAGACGTCACCTGGGGCCAGGCAATATGTGTTCAGCATGGATCACGGTCTTGTCACCTTTGGTCTCGGTCTTTATGGTCTTTTGAATGGCCAGGGGATTCGTGATTTGAGATGCAGCAAATGGCTTCACCTTTCCGAAGTGTAGGAGCCACTACTGTCGATTCTTTCAATCAAAATTTCAAAAACAAGTGCAAATCACACTTGAGCAAGCACACAACGTACAGTAGCGCCACACACACACAAACACAACGCAGGAACCACTTGCATCAGAGTCACATTCATAGTCTCCAAGATCATAGTCGGCACACCCACACACACACACAATGGCAAGGGCTTGCTTCCAAACTCACACAGACGCACTCCCAGCTCTATCACTGCTTGAACCCCAAGGAGCAACAAAAAGTGATGTACTGGTCACAGATTCCTATCTTCATCTTGAAGAAAGTGTGACCGTGCTTCAAAGAATTGGGTCCGTGCTTCAAAGAATTGGGTCCTGTCCCCTGTCCCAGGCAACAAGTATTAACATGGTATTAGCATGGTATTAATATTGAAATCTAATATTGAAACTTAAACTAGTGCACCATATTGCACCAGATTATTACCAAGAACATGCTCGGTTTTTAATCTGCTGCAATCCCAAGCTCAGCCGTCTCAGCATCCAGCTCAATGAGTTCCAAGCGAGCCTCAAGCCTTGGTCGGATCAGAACCATCAACAATCAGAGTCATGTATGTATTACTGATTACATGTAATTGCCTTCGATTGGGTGCATGGGGGTTTATGCTGTTCATATCTGTTCATCATGAATGACTCCGAACCTGACCTTTGTCAGTGGACAAGTGCGCGCCCTGAGGTTCCCACTCATCCAACCGCGCCTGGCTTTCAAGACCACCAGGCATGTGGCTTGTGGCTGTAGGCATTTGAGACCCAAGGTTCCACCCAAACCACCAGACATGTTTCATCATGTTTCGGGGTATTCAATCTCATCCATAGAGAAGCGATTCCACCTTCATCCTTCGCTCGTTCTTCTCACTTCCCTTGCGATCCTGGTGTGGGACCGGAGTTGCTCACCAACTCCCAGCACCCCAAAATCTGTGAAAGCAAAGATTCAAGATGAAACAACGAAAGGATGTCAACGGCCATGCTTGAAGTCCCCCCAAAAAAAGAGAAAATAGGAGCGTGAAGCGAAAGGTGGGACATCCTAACCCTACAAAGAAGATCAAAGAAGTACCACAAGTAAGTCAACAAAGTGCTGCATTGCTCTTATTGCCCCTGGCTGATGCATTGTACAACCCCAAATCTTGATCCCCAAGACCTCAAGGCGAGAAGACTCTTGGCGTGTCAAGTCGTTGGCCTTAGCATCTGTGTTCAACTTGCAACAAACCATTGGTCCAGGATTCCTTTGAACACAAAACCGTAGAGTCCGCCATCGCCTCTGCTTCCATTCCTAGATTCGTTCTTAAAGATCAGGGACTAAAGTGACTAAAGTATACTAAAGGCAAAATCTGGAGACTTGACAGTCAAACATGTTTTTGGGTTCTGTGAATTTTGATTTACCAGAAAAATCACCAAATCTGTTCACAGCCTAAGCTCCTGGCCTGCTCTTGGACCATCTTTCGCTGACCTTCCGACACACCTTGGCGGTGGCTGGGCCCAGCGGACCCAGGATCTGCTCTTAAACCATGTTGGAGTCAATACAAACAACTGAGTGTTGGAGTTTCTCCTAATATATGCAAGCGTTCCATATACCAACAATAGCAGTCTTTTTTCACCCCGAGCCCGCAATTGCGTGCGCGGCACAATCCGCTTGAGCGCCGGCCTGAACCCTGGGTCTATTCAGCCAAAAGATGCGAAGTGGAAACCACATCAAAATCAAATAAAATAAGACAAACAAAAAACACCGCCGTCAAACTTCATTGTCTTCACTCAGCTCAAATCAAAACAGGGAGGACCGTGAAGTCCAATCAAATAAAAACCCACCCAAGAACAATCGAAAAACCAACAAACAAAAAGAAAAACCAGAACACTTCAAAAGATCCACCTTCTGGCACCTTAGTTGGCAGGAGGACAAGACATGGAAAAAGTATGGCATCGCAACACTCCGTCCAGAAGACATGAAACAACTCTTCCAAAAACTCAAAAACAAATCAAGTGGAATCACATCCAAGGGAAACCCTCAGCAAGTGCAAATTCAAATTTGCTCCTGCTTCACTGCTCCCATCACGTAACCAGCACAAAAAATGGGACAAGAAAAATAACACCAATGCAGCTTATGACTGGAGGTGCAAACTGCCACGGACCCTAGGAGACTGCAACACAGCCTCAACCGCATGGGAAAACTGCTGGCCAAACTTGAGCGCCACTAGTGAGACCGCACTCACGCTCACTAAGCTCAGTTGGGACACGAGATGGGCGCCAGTAAAAGCATCCATCAAAGCAGTGAAATCCCGCTCTGTGACAGCCAAAATGTACCAAGCATTCCACCAACGCCAGAAACTGCATGCCGCTGGGGGCCACATGCTGCCGCATTCCCATGGCGTGTGCGAAGGACACACGCACCAGCACAGCAGGAAACCCAAAGCCACTCCCAGCGTCAAGGCCAGCCATTGCATCCGGCACCTTCAGCAAGGCAAGGCATCCCTTGCCAGCTGCAGCACTTTTTGGATAGCAGGAGCTTTCCTACTTGGAATCTCAGGCTCTGGAATCCTGGTAGACAAAAACTGCTTCAAGACGGGCAAAGTTTTTCCATTAAGCTGATCTTCGATATCATGCCATGTATGCACCTTTCCCACATCCACCAGTGGTGTCACCTCTCCATCTGACATGAAAGACAGCAAGGTCTTGAGATGAGACTGGGCCTTTGGCGTGAGTTGCTCACAGGCACGTGTCGCAGGTAGCTTAGCTGGAGTAACAGGCTCAGAACTTGGCTTCAAAGTTTTTTTGAGCTTCTGGATTTCTGCCATGAGCCTATCCTCACTGGCTTGGGCACGCTCAGCAGCTTTCTTTGCCTGTTTCCTGGCCTGTTTCTTTTTTGCCACAGAGGAGCTCGACGATGATGATGGAGACGCAGAAGAAGAGGAAGAACTAGATCTCTTCTTTTTCTTCCTTTTCTTCTCCTTGTCCCCAGCGGCCTTGCTCCTTCGTCTGACATCCTCAGCACCAAGATCGCGCTGACTGCGGTGGCCACCACGTCGGCGCTTGTCACGATCATGGTGAAAGTCCTTCTCAGAGCCGCGCACTGCCACCTCAAGCCTCACGACTTGAGGTTGACCAGAGTGTCTGGCTTGGCCCTGGTCTGGCTGTCTGGGTTCACGGTATCCTCTGCCACCATTGTGCCGGCCAGCACAAGCACAACCGACAAATAGGAGCATCCACCACCACCGCATCGCAAAAGACATGGCCCTGTCTATTGGCAACAGCGGAGGCGAATGAAACACTGAGCACAAAACTTAAGGCGTGAAGCAAGCAAGGAAACCTGCCACCAGCAACTTGCCCGTAAGGGGTTGCTTGCGGTGAGCAACCCGAAAAACTGCACTGCGGAGGTGTTGTTTTTTCCATCCTGCCCTCAAGAAATCACAAAACAACTGCACCATCGCCGCTGCCAAATCTTCAGGCAACAGCTGCATCTCCTGCCAACGAGTGACTCTCCCAGATAGCACACTGAAAGCGTAGGTTTTGCTAGCCGCCCATGGCATAGGTGGCACAAATTGCTTGCGCTTTGCTGTCCAACGCATAGAGGGCAAAACAATAGAAAAATCAAGCCAAGTCAGCACACCATTATTTCCAGGAACGGTGACCTCAAAGGGCACTGAGTAAGCATGCTGCACCCCTTCTTCAAGGCACCCAGTGCAAAGCGACCTGCTGAACCAAATGAGGTCATCGACATATCGCCCACGAGCAACAGAGTGAGACCACAGCCGATCATCCCACCAGAATTGAGCAACCTGCCGTCTGTTTTGGTCAAAATTCCAGCAATGCTCTTGCCAGCCAAGAACTGTCGAGGCGGCCACCTTCGACAACAATCCCCCTATCGGGAGTCCAGAAAAGGACCATACCTGCGTACCAGTGTATGCAAACCGAAGGGAGCATGCTGCTGCAAATAGCCAATAAAGATCCTCCATGAAGAAAACTCGGCATCTGCGCAAAGATCTGAAGATACAGCCGCCAAAAAACACCACACGACTGCCAACAACCGTGACAGTTGTATGGCCGTTCTTCCGGGCCAACGTCAGTACTTCGTCCAACGCAGAGCAGGCTTCAAAGGCAGACACGCATTCAAAGAACTGGCCCGCATCTGCAGTAATTCCCTGGATTTCTGCACAAGCACCATGACAGCGGTCACACCGCCCTGCTTGTCTGGCAGGAAGCAAGCGCGCCATCTTCCGCTCGAGATCACGACGGGCAGTATTCAATGCCCAAATTTCATCAGTGCAGATAGTCATTTGCAGAATGAAAGTCAAAGCCCTGCCAGCCTGCCGCCACATGCGCCGAGCTGGCCACTTGACGTAGGACACTATCCTGCGCATACACGAATGCCCTGGTTTCTCACAGGAGCGGCGACCGTTGGAAAAACACTTCGGCTTCATGCTGTTGTAGCAGTACGGAAGAAACCATCTGCCTGGCACCACTCCAAATTGTCGACGTAACCTGGCTGGAACAAAAGCTGTCAGCAGGGCAACACACCACGCTTGCGCTTCCTCCACAGACATGTCTACAGCACACCATGCACTAGAGACGCACACAAAAAAGGCCATCATGAGGAAGTAAGTCTTCTTCGGCACAATCCATTTGTACTGTTTCATTTTGTCATCTGGGCAAATCACCTCTTGCTTGCCTGCGGAAAATTGGGAGAAAATGTGCTCGTGCTCTGCTGTCAGTGCCACAACGCGTTGACGATGCATCTTCCACGCTCTTGTTGCTTCCAGCTGTCGCGCTGCATGTCCACGGCACGTCTTAGCCACTTTTGGCGAAAGAAAGGCACCGCACCACCCACGCAAACACTGCTTGACCGAAGACAAGTCATCTTCTCGCGTAGATGGCATAGGCACCCTCCAGTTGGTTTCTACACGCCGGGCGCCAGTGGCACGCACCGCATCTGCCAACTCTGAGTCACTGCACTGCCGGACTTCATCCCAGTCAAAAACTTGCGCTTGTTGAGCGCAATTTTGCTTGTCAGCAAAAGTACGCACCTTTCCCACTGCAATCCGAGTACTCTCCACCACGTAGTTCCGCATCATTTTGTCCCAGCTCGGTTGAGAGGCAACGCCCAACCGCAGTGCTGACTTCACCGCCGGGATGAAGCAACGCTGGGGCACCGTAATGGTGAAGCCGCGTGTAGAAGGGAGCCTTCGAGAATGCAGCAAGTCATCAAACTTTTTCTGGGCCAACTGGAGCCTTCGGCCGACAAGCCAGAGTTTCGCTTTCTTCCAAAGCAAGATTGCTGAACATGGCGAACGCCAATGCTTATCAACGCACGCCCAATGAACACTTGCACCAAAGGATCCTACAAATAAAAGCAATAAACGCCAGTGCCCAGGACTGTAAATGTTGAGGGGACCCAAAACGCCAGATTGCGCAAAGCGATGTTGCTGCACATGTCTGTAGGCAGATCGGAAATCCATCCCCAGCGCTCGCACCAAATCCTGAGGCTCAGCCCGATGGGCATTGTACTGCTGTGCCCTAGACACTCGAGCCAGCGCCTTCTCAAACTGAGCAGATGCGACCCCACCTTCAAAAGTTCCTTCACGCAAATGATGGCCCACATACCCCCTGCAAGATCGGGGAGGTCTATGGCGTGGACGCTTGTTGCAAGTCAGACGCTTTTTGCCTGAGCCATTCGCAGCAGGCTGGTGGCAGCGAATCTCTAACTGCTCAGCAGCATACATCAAAGTCGAAGGGCCAGCTCTTGAAATCAAGAAACCCATGTTGCTCCCACTTGCTTTGCGAAAAAGAACGTACTTCTTCAACTGGGATCCTTTGAGGCTGCGCCTGGACCAATGCAGCAGATGCTCCCACCAACGCAAAGCAGGCCCTGGCATGCCGGGCCGGGATGCACGCTGCAAAGAAGCAACCCCAACATACCTGGAAGGCCCAAGCCACTGATACAAGACCGCACAATTCTGCAAGTTGCACCCATAAGCTTCCAAATCAATGTTGGGAGCCCGAACAGCGAGAAGCTGCAAGTGGACAAATCGGTCAATTGCCTGCCGTCTTTGCGCCAAACTTTGCTCTGGGAAACTCTTGGGCCAGAAAATAGAACGGTGATCTGGGCAAAGTAGTTGGCCAACCTGGTGACTTTGCTGGGTCCTAGCCCTGCCCTTCAGGATCGCCATGCCGTTGGCAACAAACAACCCGGCAAGGGCTCGCAGAGCACCCTCTGGTTTTCTCCCAAAATTCTTCCCATCTAAGAAAAGCCAAGACAGCAAAAAGTCAATTGAAATCTCCAAGCAAGCTAAAACTCGTTGTTTCAGGTGGCAACGCAGCAAGCAATCTGCAACCATAAAAACTGCAGCTGTGCCAATGTGCATGCCTTTCTGTTTGGCGGAAATGTGCTCAAAATTCATCTCAGCAGAAAGCCCTGAAGCCCACATCAAGACGGACCAAAGTCCATCAAGCACCTTATTCAAAGGGATCCGTTCCAAGTCTTGGTTACAATGCAGTCGCAGTTGAGCCGTGGCCAATTCGATCGCAGTGGGCATGCCTGCAAAAACCTAGCGTAGGAATATCGTTGCTGTTGCAGTAGCAAACCCAAAACAAAAATTCGCCGCACCAAGATACGCTGCACCGCGAACACTCTGCACTGTAAGGAAATATGGAAATATGGAAATATGTAGAACGATCACCCAGTCAAACCGGGAGGCAAGGAGCACCGTTACAAGGCCAACAGCAGAGCTGGGTCACCAAGCCGGAATTGCTCCCGTAACTACAATAGCAGTCTTTTTTCACCCCGAGCCCGCAATTGCGTGCGCGGCACAATCCGCTTGAGCGCCGGCCTGAACCCTGGGTCTATTCAGCCAAAAGATGCGAAGTGGAAACCACATCAAAATCAAATAAAATAAGACAAACAAAAAACACCGCCGTCAAACTTCATTGTCTTCACTCAGCTCAAATCAAAACAGGGAGGACCGTGAAGTCCAATCAAATAATTTGCAAATTGCATTTGCTGCGTTGAATTTGTGTTTGAAATCAAAACAGGAGCTTCGAAGATTGAGGCTCCACCTGACTTGAGAGCTGTCTTTCGAGATTGGTGTCCAGGGCCCTAACGTTCCAAGGCCTTTTCCATACCCTGCATATCCTGACACAATGCATCCCTGGGGTAAAGTTGGGGGACTTTCCAGCTGCGTCCTTTTTGAATTTCCAGAAAAAAAACACAGCACAGATGGAGGCAAGTTTGTCCTTCTGCTGATCACATGTTTATGACCAAAACCCTCACCATCAACCATCATGTCTGGAGAATCTTGCCATAATCTTTTTACATTTTTTTACAATATTTTAGGTGGTTAGAGCCATTACAAACCCTCATTGTTGATGGGTCAATCCAACCAGACTCCATCATCAGACCGCGGATCCCCATAGGATCAACTGGCGAACCCTATAAGTCCTTCAGCAGCCGCTTCATTTCCTTGTCGTTGGCCTCCAGCTGCGCGACCATCCGGTGAAACTCGCGGCTCCTGGGGACACGGCCATTGCTTTCTTACCGAATCCTTAGCCTTTCTAACTAGAAACATGTTTTTCATTGTTTTTCAGTTTAAAAGTCGTTGTTCCAAAATCCATGGTTGCACATGGGTCTTACCGTCATTTTATGGCTATGACCAAATGGGGAAGATCTTTTTCACCACGAGATGCTGATTTGGTCGCCCGCTCCAATCCTGGGAGACGCAACCTCGCTGTCAGTGGCACCTGCCATGGAAGATATTCTACAAATGGGCAAAGAATACACTCCCGAGTTTAATATATAAATATGTATTCAATATGTATAAATAATTATAAATACATATATAATTATATATATAATTTATATGTGTATATTATATTACTATATTATATCGAGTATTGATCGACAAACCATGAAAAACATAGTGGATCAACGAACTTCCAAATGCAAAAGGTGGTGATTTCCGGCCCTGGTTTTTCGGGGAACATCTTCGGTACGATACCTTCGCGAGGTTCAGGACCTGTCCAGTGGAGCAAGCTGCTGAGGTTGATCTTCACTCCAAAAAGGAAGGGAACACACATCACTGTTCAGTACATTTGTATACATTAATGTATACATTTGTCATGTGCATTCATTTCTATTCATTTCTATTCATTTCTATCCATTTCTCATATTCAACAAACCCGGGAGAAATTGTAACTTAAACATAGACTTAAACTTCAAAACTAACTGAGTGGTGGTTTCAATCCCCGCACATCATTTGCTCGTGGGGATCTTCATCCCAAAGGTCAGCTGAACAATCGGACTCCACTCGGCCATTCGCAGGCTGCCACGCCTTTTCGCACCATGCTGGCCTGTGCCTGCAGCGGGCAAACGCTGATCATAGGATAAGTCAATAGACTTTCATGGACTGGGATGGCTCTCATGGATTGAGTGATTAATTTATACTAGATGATATCTAATTCATGTTGAAAACGGTCAAGATATGTTGAAATGAGGGAACACGTCACTGACATTGGTAATGCGTGACAAGCTGAAATTTGCAGCAGACAAGCAGTGGCCTCACCCAGTATCTCCATGCGACTTTCCAGCTGCCTGAAGCACCAAACTTCGATAAACTCGGGCAAACTCAAGTGGGTGTCTATCCAATCCGAAAGGAACACTGAATTGGCCATGATTGGCCATTGACTTGACTTGGCCATGCAACCAAAAGAACAATCTCTAAAAACACATGCCTTTTATCTTGGGTCAATCTTCCATTTTCAGACACCCAAGTGGACCATTTCCAGGGCGACATCCCATTTTCAGCCAAACTTTGGCATCTGCTTCAGTGGTTCCCACCTCATCAGGATCTCGCGCTTGCTTTGCTCCTCCGCAATGGACATCTCGGCGACGGTCAAACGCTGAAGAAGGCCAGAGACCTTGGGAGTGGAGCAGCGCTATGCGTCGCTATGTGTTGCTGGGCAAGACCTAATTCCATGGGGATATAGCATCGGATATACAGTAGTGCGGGAAATATGATGAGAATGGACAAAAAATCTGATATTCATCAATTGTATCAAATTATCATGCTATTTGCCAAATGGGGGGGTTGCATAGACATCTGCACTGTGCACTTCTCGGACTGCAATTATCGTTTTCAGCATTTTTTTCCAAACAAGAGTGGCGCATTGAACATCAGCTCATACCTGTTGGCGACGAGCCTTCTGTGCTGAGCTTGACGACGTTGCTGCCGACGCTTTCATGGTTTTGTGCAAAAGCACTTTCAAGTTGCGACACTTGTGTCGTGAGCCTGGGCATGCTTGAGGTCTTGTCTGGATGACAAACCATGGCAAACCACTCTCTACACTTGATGCTGATTGAACATATGGAAGTGGGAGTAGCAATATCGCTTTAGATCACATGTGATACAACCAGTCTACCGCAAGTCTTATGGTTATGTGACTGGTTGGGGAAGTGCAGTATTCAGCTAGTGCCACACTAGCGAGAGCAGGTGAAGCAAACATGGAAACGCCTTCCATTTCGAAGGGAAAACTCTGATGCAGCTATTTTGAAGGTAAGTGGAAAGTTTCAACAGACCACCGCCTCCAAAACCACCCCCCAGTGCCCAGCTGGGTGAAAGGGGCTGTCGCATGTCTTGTGCAGCGCTCTGCTCCATCTTCTTGCGAAGATTTTCGGCCTGGTTTATATGGAAGCTTCGCAGCTGAGTGGAACTGACTAGAACTGACTAGAACTGTCTGCAGGTTTTTTTTTGTGGCCAATCCTCCTGCAGATTCGTAATCTGAAGGAAAAATAAGGAAAATACATCTTTTACCCAAGTTTCTCTTTGTGAATGTTTGGGAATATGTTTGCCCCAGAACCATCTATCTTTGAATCGCGAAGGGAAGGCACACTTCGACTGGATCAGAGGCTCTGAAAAACTTGCCTCTGACATTGTCATCACAGATTTCAATTCAGCAGCGAAGCGGTCCTGTCAGGGCATCAGTCATCAGGTGACATCAGGTGATATTGGTGGATCATGGCACCGTGCCGATGCACCAAGGCCCCGCAAGTCTGCGTGAATTTCTATCAGCAGCCAAATCCACGAATCATCCCCAGAGATTCCAGCGAAACCTGGTTGGCTGACTAGGAGGGACTACCTAATTTTAGCATTAAATAATATTAAATAGCCTCAGTTGAGCGAAGAGTTGATCCCCAACTAGTTCTGCAGATTCTGTGGACCTGCCTGGCTCATCTGTAGTCGTCTCTCTACCTGCCATAGCACACGACCGACGTACGACTTCTAGACGCTTCATATCCATCGTCTTGATGTACTGAGTATGGATGAGATCCAACATTCCCCCCCAACCTTGGTTTTAGAAAGGTTGAGATCCTGTTCAAACTTACAGTGTTGGGTGAAAAACAGCTTGACAAGTCTCATCGAAGCACCAGCAGCTCTTGCGGCCCTATGAAATGCGCCCGCACCTCCTGGTTCAGTCGTTGTTCGCTCCTGGTGCCAAGTTTGGCTCAGAACATCGAATTTGGATCGCTGGTGCAGGATGATCTTCAAATGATCTCATTGTTCTTCCATCTCACAGCTACAGGTACCTCACGATGAAAATGCTGGGCTAGCTCTTCTTGGGGCGAGCATGTAAAAGGACACATCATTCATAATCACCATAAAATCAACATAAAATCCCATTAAATCACCATTAAATCACCATAAAATCCCATAAAATCACCATTGATAATCAGAGAAAATGCGGTGCCCCCCAGTTGGATGGGTCTTTCTCGCTGATACTCTGGGGAAAGAGGGCAGCACCCTGCGGTTCCAAGCCACTGGGGCCCCTGCTCCAGAAGGACTTTGTCGACACGCTGACGCCAGGTCTCAATCCCTGCCTCTGAATCTGAAGGCATTGGGAGATCTCATGGCACTGTGGGAAAACTCATAAGTATCTTATGAGTTATAACATATTATAAAGATTTATAAAGGGGATACAGTACTACAGAAGAAAAACCTTGCAAACAAAATCAAACAAAAAGTTCTTCGACCATAGACCTCCAGTACTACGACTCTGCAGTGGTTCAAACGATGCAGTCTACCACCAACTGTCAACATAAGAATTGCAAGTCAGGTGATTGCAGTACCATGTATTTTATCCGTTAGCTGCCAGAAGATGGGTGGACTTGTAACTCATCGCATGACATCCAAGTAGGAACCGTCTCCCTGCCTCCAAATTCGAGAGATTCGTTGCACTAGACCGTATCCCTTCCGTGCTGCGATCACGGACATCCTCACGGAATGTGGCCCGTGATCGACTCGAGGCGTTTTCTATCGTTTTCTTAGTCTTGCAACTGGCCCACTTGGCATATCGACTAACCTTAATGTAACCAGTACTGTCACCAGTACTTCATGTGCAAAACACCTGAAGGTGCTCTATTCCTGGAGCTGTTTTGCAAAATGATAAACTTCTCAAAATCTACTGTAAGCTTCTTCTGAGACATTCAGCGGGTTCGTTCTCAATCTGATTTTAGCCTGGGCCTCAACTAATCATGATAGATCATGATAAATCAGGATAGATCATGATAAGTCAACATCCTGCGCGTCCCACTGCGAACATCAATAGTATGCCTTCTATCCTTTTGCTGGTTGGTTTGGTGGTATCTCAACAAGAAAAAAACAGCCAGCACCCATCATGACCTTGTACATGGACCAATTCACAGCCAGGATGGTCTTGGAATGTCTTCGATGAATGTGGAAAAACAAGTTTCAGTGAATGGAATAATTAAACATGTCGTAAAGTATGTAACATAGTCATCATGGGCAAGGCATCAAATACAGTCCTATTATGGATTCAGAAACTCTTCATTCACTCACAAATGACCGCTCCTCCAGCTGTGTTTGAAGCTGTTGCAGCTGGCGTGACATGCTTCCAGCCTGGGCACACAATGCACTGGCCACCCGGATGGTGGTTTTGAGGGGATATCACATCAGGGGCAGTGAGTCAGAATAATTAATTAATGTGAAAAAACAAAAACCTCGGACAAATCTTCCACAGAGAATTTTTTTTGACATTTTGATTTATATTCAACAGTGACTCTTCTCTCACATATTCTTAAATATACACCGCCAGGCCTTACCCATAACAACAATCCAATTATATCCCCTATACCCTCATGACCTGCAGAACTGTCTAGAAAAACAACCATCTTCTGAGTGCTTCACGGACTCACCCAGCAAAGAGTCCTTCATCTTTTGGATCTGGTCCTTCCAATGATGCCAGAGGTGATGGTGATGGTGTTTCCCATGTTTTTTGATGGGGACTACTACAGTATTGCAGTATTACAGTATTCTACTGGGTCATGGTGCTGATGCTGGAGGATGGTGATGGCGGTGATGGAGATGGTGGTCAAATTGATGATGATGATGATGATGATGACGATGACGACGACAAAAACAAAGACAAAAATAAACGTAAACTTTATTTCGTTGATGTTGATGTTGCCCTGTTGCTGTTGAAACTTTGTCGCGTTTAACGATGCATTGTTGAACAGCAAATGATTCCGACTAAACATGAAGATCGGCGGCCTTTGGCATCAGATTGGAACCACTTGCCCACAAGTCCAGGATTTGGTCCATATACATTCTTTTTGCTGCACAAATCTGGAAACATACAAGCCGAAACCCTGGTTCCTGGATTCCTGGCACCCAATTTTTCATATTTGAGAGCAAGCAGAGGCGGACGAAAGGTAGTGTAGTGGGAGAGGAGTAGGGTAAAAATGCCGCGCCCCTTTTGTTCAGCACTGGCGGGAGATGTCACAGTAGAGGCACACTCTCCATGAGGGAGATGTCCCTGTAGTCCAGTATAATTAATTGGTATGTTTCAGCCTCAGTAACGGTTGCTGCAAGGGGTCTTAAAAAGGGTTTTAGATAAACCCCTTTCCGTGCATCATTTCATGCCGCGCAAGACACTGTATCATGCAGTCATGCTCTGGAAAAAATCATCTTAGACTGCGCAAAAACTTTTTTGATGTATCGGAAAAAAGGGTTTTAAACTAGACGACGGATGGCCCGAGAGCGTAGAGAAGCATAGTGAGAGGCGTAAGTACGAAGATCTTATAGCATAATAAAACATGTATATAGAAATGAACGATGATAAAACATAAATACAGAGACATATACGGTGATATCTAAACATGAAGAAACATGGTGCAAACAGTCAAGAAAGGAAGGAAAAATTGAAGGAGGAAGAAAAGGAAGATGAAAATAAGAAGACACAGGAAGAAGAATTGAGAAGACACAGGAAGATACGGCAGTGCGGAGAAGCTTTTACGCACAGAAGCTTCCACACACAGAACCCTTTACACACAGAACCCTTTACACACAGACACTTTTACACACAGACGCCTTTACACACAGACACTTTTACACACAAAAGTTGTTACAGAGACCCTTTTACACACTGACTCGACACTTTCACACACAGAAGCTTTAGACAAAGAAACTTTTACAAACACTTTGACACACAGACGCCTTTACACACAGACACTTTTACACACAGAAGCTTTTACACACATGCATAAGTACACGTTCACACACACAGATGCTCATACACACGGAAGCTTTTACACACATATGCTTTACACACAGAAGCTTTTGCGCACAGAAGCTTTTGCACACACACAGATATAGTTACACTCAAACGCATTTACACACAACTCTCTTACACACACACACACAAACGCTCTTGCACACAAACGCTCCGCCGGACCAACCAAACGCGGAACTTCCTTCGTGCGAAAGGGTTGCGCGGGAAACCCCAAAATCGCAATTATACCTCAATTTTTTGACAACGGCCATCATTTCGTGCGAAAGGGGTGCGCGGGAACCCTCAAATTCGCAATTTTACCTGTTTTTGACGATCCAACCTCGTTTCGTGCCAAAAGGTTGCCGCCAACACTTCCAAATCGCAATTTTACCTCAGTTTTTGATGATCGAACCTCATTTCGTGCGAGGGGTTGGCCATTTGGTGGCGCCTTGTCGGCACCGCCCGCAGAAAAGAAAAAGAAGGAGAGAGACCGTGACAGAGGGCAAGAGAGAGAGAGAGAGAGAGACAGAAAGACAGAAAGACAGAAAGACAGAAAGAAAGACAGACAGACAGACAGACAGAAAGAAAGAAAGAACGAGAGAGAGAGAGAGAAGATGTGAAGATGTGAAGATGTGAAAACGTGAAGATGTGAAGATGTGAAGATGAGATGTGTAGATGTGAAGATGATATGTGTAGATGTGAAGATGAGAAGATGTGAAGATGTAAAACAGACCCCCACTATTACAAGAAACCTTCGCTCAGACGCTCTTGGGAATAAGAACACCGTGAAGCTGTTCAAAAAAGGGGCTTTTAACCGAAGGAAGTTTAGAAGTCAAACTTCCGACAATATGGACAGATGAAAAGCAGAGATGGGAAGAGTCAGAGAAGAGAAGAGAAGAAGAAAGAAGATCAAAAAGAGAAAGAGTGAGAAGAAAGAAGATCCAGGTGCGCGAAAAGGTAGGAAAGTCGCGAAACACTGTGTTTTTCCAATGATTTGTGGCTCCGGAGGGTCGAAAAGTAGGCTCGCTAAAGCGGCGGGTGCGGAGCCAGCTGGCCAGATGAGAGATGAAAAATTGCGCGCAATTGTGGCGAGAAGCACGCTTCCAAGTCAAAATGTTAAAAACTGACGGGTTCAGAGCACTTTTGGACGTTGCGATGTCGAAAAAGTGGACGACGTTGTGGCGCGAAGCACATCTCCAAGTGAAAATGTACAAAGCACCTCAGCTTCGGAGCACTTTGGAAGTTGCGATGTCGAAAAAGTGCACGCTGTTGTGGCGCGAAGCACATTTCGAGTCAAAATCTACAAAGCACCACACGTACGCGCCACTTTTGGACGTTGAAGCGTCGTTTTGCGTGGCAGGCGCAAGGGATTGTGCACCTTGTCAAAAATTAGCAAAACGTGAGGGTTTCGTAGCATTTCCAAAAACGACGGCAGGCGTAGGACATTTGAAGAGGATCTTCACAGATGCATTTCGCGTGGCAGGCGCAGTACACAAGACATGTTCATCAGAGATGTTAGGAGGTAGGAGGTCAGGGCGCTGATTTCCTGAGACGGGTTGCACTTTGGAGCATCAGATCTGTAGGTTTGCTAAGATGATTTTGCGTGACAGGTGCAGCACTTCGTATGACCTGGCATCACTTTTTCGTGGCAGGCGCAGTAGTTTAGACAGGTGGAATGGAAAAATCGCAAAACGCATTGGTACGAGGCCGTCAGCTCTGCACTCAACTTTCCATGTTTGAAGGATGTCTCGCAGAATTGCTTCGTTTTGGACGTCGTCAACTTTGAAAAATGAGGAAGTCTCGCTGAATTGCTTCGTTTTTGACGTTGTCAAGTTCAAAAATTGAGGAAGTCTCGCTGAATTGCTTCGTTTTGGATATTGTCAAGTTCAAAAATTGAGGACGTGTCGCAAAATAGCTGCGTTTTCAAGCTTGCAGATAGACAGATAGATAGAGAGACAACTACAACTGCAACTACAACTACCACTACACCACACTACTACTACAACTACAAGTACAAATATACTACGCTAAATTACACGACCTAATTACACTACACTACACTAAATTACATCGAATTACGCTACACTACGCTACACTACACCAATTACACTACAACTACTACACCTACTACAACAGCGACTACTACTACTACTACTACTACTACTACTACTACTACTACTACTACTACTACGACCACCACCACCACCACCACCACCACCGCTACAACTACAAGTACAGCTACACTACATTACACATCATTACACTACAATACACTAATTAAACTGCCATACATTACAGCTACAAATACAAATGCAACTACAACTACGCTACAGTACACTACACTACACTAATTACATTACATTACACTACAACTGCAACTACCACTACATTGCATTACACGACACTACACTACAACTACAACTGCACTACTTTACACTACAATACACTAGACTACACTACACTATACCACGCTACAGTACACAACGCTACAATACACCACACTAATTACACCACACCACAAGTACAACTGCACCTGCAACTACACTACACTAATTACACTACATTACTACTAACTACAACTCCACTACACTACAACTACAACTACAACTGTGCTACACCACACTACATCCAGCAGTTGTGGCGAGGTGACCACTGCAACCATTGCAACCACTCCAGAAAACACAACTCCAACCACCTGTCGGTCCATCAGTGGATTCGCTTTGCCATCCGTGAGTCACAACAACCAACACTTCCTATAGGTTTCCTATTTTTGAAACTTCCGCCACCGCCTTGTGCGGTACTACTGGTAAGATGTTCTATCCAGAGCATGACTGCATGACATGATGCAGTGTCTTTTGCAGCATGAAATGATGCACGAAAAGGGGTTTATTAAAAACACCCTTTTTTAAGACCCCTTGCAGCAACTGTTACTGAGGCTGAAGCAAACCAATTATGCTGAACTACAGGGACATCTCCCTCATGGAGAGTGTGCCTCTACTGTGGCGGACCGTGACCGCGTCACCCGCGGCCCCTCCCCCCCTAATAATTGAAAGCAAATACATAACGCCTAGAATTCTACGTTTTGCCCGGACTAGCCCCCCAATACCCCCTATGATTGTGCTGAAGCACGGAGAACTCAGGTAGATGACGCTACCTTTCGTGACAAGACATAATATCCTAAATAGTTCATAAATGGATGTTCATTCCTTACCAACCGATGGTCCGATCCCGGTTTTGCTGTGTTTTGTTGGCCCAGACTCCATTTAAGTGATGAAACACTACAGAATTTCTTGGCAGTTAAACCATATTAAACCATGTTGAACCATGTTGAACCGGTTTTTTGAGTGTATAAACCTTAATCACCTCAACCCCCATTTTCTGGTGATAAACCATCCTGTTCTGCTGCGACAAAAACCTCATAAACGCGCCTCGTGGCTGGTCCACTGGCTCCGCTGCTCACGAAGCTTGGCCTTGCGAACTGTGTATGGTAAAGAAGGTCGAAGATCATCATGGCGGGTACAATCCATGTGTATATATTAGTATGATTGTATATGCTATAATTTGGACATAGCCTCTAACCACGAACAGTGACTTTTTCGGCACTGTCATCGAAAGAAACTTGGTGTTTCCAATTTCTGAAGTATATTACAATGACATAGTATAATATAATATATTAATTATAAATATATTATAGTCATAGTATATTGAACATGATTGATGCCAAGAAAATCCAAGAAATATCTATTCAAATCTTGAGAACACACAGTGGTAGCGGTGAGTCTCGGAGAGCCACTGATCATGCCTTGGGTTCACATCCCCTCAGCAAATCTCTTGTACATCGAGCGCAGTGGAACTAGTTTCTTGCTTGCCTTCTGGTTGCAAACTCTGTGACAAAGACAAACCTTAGCCTTAGTTTGAAGTTTAGCAAAAGCATCTTTCCAAACTGAGCCCAACTATTTCCATTCCAAATTCCCGGCAAAAGCTGCTCCAGTGCCTCCAGTTGCGAAAGTTTTTGCTCAGTGACTTCTGCCTTTCGTTCCATGGCCTAGCACTTGAAGGGAAGCACTCAGTTCCAAAAAATCAGAGATGGTAAGTCACCTCCAAAGAGAAAGTAAAGCATCGGCAGCAAGCCCCTGCCTTATTCGGTGATGAGGTTCGTGTAGAAGCTGCGCGGGTCAGAGTACATCACTGCCCCATAAAGAAAAAAATATCTTCGATAGGGCAAGGTCAAGTCTTGGAGCTTGTGCATCCGAATTTCTGAACCCTCACTGTGCAAATCAAAGGTCAAGTACAGGTGTTTAGTCCGGAATAGTCCGGATATGGCTGTGACATCTGTGACAGACCCGTTCATTCACTAGCTGTAGTCTACCACCATGTTTCGCAGATCATGTTTGGTGGACTTTGGTATCTGGAGCCACTGGCACCAACTGCCAGCGCCTTTCAAGCCTTGGAGCTGCTGCTCCATCATTTGCAGACGGGACTGAGGCCGGAGGATGTCAGGAAGGGGAGTTGACACGTCTGTACCAATGTGGGATCTCACTCACATCAGATACATCAGTCAGGAAAGAGCAATTAGCTGTTGAAAGGTCTTGACAAGTGAAACTGGCACCTTTGGATCCTGCACAGTACCTCGGTTCATATCTTCCTGCTCGTCCTTTTCAAGCAAGTTTTATGCGCAGGTTTCGCTCAGGTCAACAACTCTGATTCACTCCGTGATTTCATGCGAATTCCATCACCTTCCAAAGTAAAAACACCGAAAAAATGGACATCAGATGTTCATGTGATCCCTTGCGCCTCGAGTTGAGCGCCGCTGTGTGCATGGATGACTTCTACTGCTTGAACTCCCGGGCCTCTTCAGGAAGTGCTCGCAGCTTCTACTGCTTGCAGCCAGTGGTCATACTGCAAGACACATAATCCGCCGACCCCAGCCGGATGCTGGGGGAGCGCGCTGGAGAAGGCCTGCCCTGAAGAATGCTCAAGGGACAGACAGAGACAGATAGAGACAGACAGAGACAGACAGAGACAGACAGACAGAGACAGACAGATAGAGACAGAGAGACAGAGAGAGACAGAGAGAGAGAGAGAGAGACAGAGAGACAGGCAGACAGACAGACAGATAGACAGACAGATACAGACAGATACAGACAGATACAGACAGATACAGACAGATACAGACAGAGACAGACAGAGACAGACAGAGACAGACAGAGACAGACAGAGACAGACAGAGACAGACAGAGACAGACAGAGACAGACAGAGACAGACAGAGACGGACAGACACAGACAGACACAGACAGACACAGACAGACACAGACAGACAGAGACAGACAGAGACAGACAGAGACAGACAGAGACAGACAGAGACAGACAGAGACAGACAGAGACAGACAGAGACAGACAGAGACAGACAGAGACAGACAGAGACAGACAGAGACAGACAGAGACAGAC